TCCCTTGTGGTTCCTAACGGAAGTTAGGGCCTAAATATATACCGCTGCAGTGACAAACACACGTTCTGTTTGTCCCTATGATCTTTTGGCCTAGTTAGCGGCAAAATGCTCTTATGTAATCCCTTAGGAGTTGCGGCCTAAGCGGTGCTTAGGATTACACCCTGCAACCGCGTCAGCACGTGACACCTCAACTCATCCGGCGCTAAGCCCCATCTTCACAACATAAACCACCTGTACCCCAAGGATGTTGCCTGAATCAGACTTCATAGAGAAGAAAATCACACCAACTGGGAGTTTCGTGAATACTCCCCCCACACCCCCGCCTTCAGAAGAGAAAAAGTTGTCGACCAGTGCTCAAAGCGTGCTGAACTGTTTCAAACTCCACCGTGAAGGTCGGAGGCTACAATCTTGGCGGCAACACCGGCTCACTCCGGATCAATATACAGAGGTTTTGCATGTACTGGATAGTGACGAATCTCTTCGAGGTTACGTAGAAGACAAAATAAGGTAAGTGCTGTCAATCTTCGGGTGCATTGAAGGCATGTTTGCTGAGTTGTATTACAGGCTCGACTACGACCCCAGACGGTCCCGTCTCACTATCCGAATGCTGAGTCCGCTACATGATTTGTTTTGTGCCGAGGTAGTCTCTAAAATTTTGAACCAATTGACAGAGTTGCAAAAGAGTGATAAAGCCTTCGGTGATTTTGCGAGAAAGATCAAACATTTATCGACATCCAGAATCCGGCTGCCGAATGATACAAATAACAGAGAGCAGGCTTATTCCGAAAGGTGCCCAGATGCATCATTTATACATGAACATGCCAAATATCCCGGTGTTATTATAGAAGTGTGCTATTCACAAAAAGCTCGAGCTGCTGCGGACTTGGCAGATGATTATATCCTCGACACCAATGCGAGCGTAAACGTTGTGATTGCCCTGAATATTGAATATAGAGGGTCCAAAAGGGCGACTATATCAGTTTGGCGACCGCACAAAATTACCGTGGATGGGGTAAAGGAACTGGAAGCAAAAGCTGTGATCGAGATGATGGTACGTTCCTTTTCAGCCGCAGTCCTAAGTAACTGGTACTGACTGACGATTTGCAGCCCTTTCGAACGGAGTCTGGACTTCCAGTCGATGAATATAAACGACCGTCGCTCCAGCTTTCACTCAGGGACTTTGCCCCCAAGAGCATCGCACAGAAATACCCCGATCTCGATCAAGATATCGTTATCTCATCGAGGGAGCTCTGTGACTTTCTTTCGTCTGCCGAAGCTGAACATCAGAAACAGCTGCTAGACCAAGGTGTCGATGAGCCATTGTCACCAGACACTCGAAAGCGTCGTCGAGTCCAGACACCCCCTGAACAGCTTAGTTCAGAAGAAGAATTCCCGGAAAACGTAATGAAACGCGGGCGCCTTACGCGAGATTCATCTGGACTCTTCGCCCGCGGATCTGAAAGCTAAGCTGTGGTATAAATATATCCCACATACCAAGCCACCGTGTGCTAGGGTGGTAGCGTCATATCTATAGTGCCGCGATAAAGTTCCGTAAATACCCACACATTGCACGGCTCTTGTCCATCAGCAAGCCTAACTAAAGGCGCCAAGCGAGCAATATGGCTGTTCTTATTGCTAGCTATCTAACCCCTGAGCTGGACCAAATGGTGGACAATATAGCCCTAGTTCTCAGCCACGAAGAGTATTGGATAATCAGTATGATAACATCATCCTCAATCATGTCAGTAGACTCATTATATCATACTTACGCAGAATAAATATGTGCAACAAAAAGACACTTCATGGGACCTCAGGAGTTCACACGCTGGCTTCACGTCAACTTTCCCGAAACCGAAACCATGGGTTTGAACAACCCCACGTCTGTCCACGGGTGGTCGGACGAGTTACCTCATCAAGACTACTCTTCTATTACACGGATATACTGTGATCTTTAAGGCTACCACGACGGAGAAGCAGCATCTTCTTCAAGCGGAAGTGGGCAATTATCACTACCTCAGCAGCTTGCAGGGACCCCAGATCCCCGTCTGCCTCGGGACCTTTACACCCCGCATTGCACATTGGTACCATGGCAATTTAATGGACGCATATGATGGTACTGAGCTGGTCTGAAACGCAGCTCTAGGAAGTCATCAACGATGAAAATACCAGTTTCTTTTATGGGGAGCATGATAAAGCTGACCGTGCTCCGGGTCGCACGGAGTTGTCCATGGCGACAGTGAGTGGCGCAATATGTTGTGGGATGACCTAGGCGGCCTTTTTTTTTTTTTTGTCATTGACCTGGAGGAAGTGAAATGGCTGAAGCGCCCTCGGGCTCTTGAACCAACCTCTGGCAACACGCGGCATGATCATCGCGTCGGAGGGGAGAAAAGCAGAAAAAAGCTCCTCTCCAGCTTAAGGCTTAAGTGCTGTCTGCTCATGATGACACCACACCCATGGATCACTGTGTCAGTTGACGTTTACATCTACACCTTCAGATATGCTCGTGATGCCTGGGGGAGGGGGAGTATAGTCTAGGACTATACTAGATGTTTCTGCAAAATCCCAACTGATCCTAATATTTATGACTATTAAAGTTATATTGCGCAGTAAATACGAAAGTTGACACAGCTTGCCCCATACAGCAGTCAATGGGTACGTATGACCTGCTAGTTAATTGCCGCCGAACCCGCAAAGACTGACTGAGTCTGTGCCTGGAACAATGCAGGCCATATACTGCATCAGTCCCATTCAGTCCGAGGAGTTACTCCTTCCAAATCGAGTGGATAGGCCCAGAATACCCTTTGTTGAGGGTGGATATGTATATGCACTCCGTCATAGTGGGCAGTTCAATTAGAAAACAAATCGAGACCAAGTTGATGGATTGGGAGCAGATCGACATGACCCGAATCTTTGCATACATCCTGCCCCTATCAAACTTTTCATTACAAATCATTTGGAATAGCTATCGGCTATGTACATCTACTACGGAGTACACCATGGCTGTTTAACATCGCTTCGATTTTGAGGAAACTAGGATGTTATCCACAAGCACCCAAAGAACAGGAGTATGTTTATTGAGTTATTGCATAGTTTCTTCCCATTATGGTATAGTTGAGAGGTATCCAATATTAAGATGGCAATAGATCTGATGGAAAAAGCAATCAATCATGACATAGGCCTATGATGATAAAAATCAAGATAGCGATAGTCCTCTTGGCTACAAGGGAATCCCAGTCTAGTCCCATATAGTATCAATAGGGGATTTCCGCCACCTGGTGATCGACAGAGTCTCTCTCGTGCTAACCCTAAATCTCAATGTACAGGTAAACAGAACATTCGGTGCAGCATGCAAGTGCCTGGTGTCAGAATCCTCCGGGCTATTTCCACTACTAGCGCCCTAGCATATGTTCTGAATATCCTAGCAATCTAGCTTATATACCAATGTAATCATGTTGAGTTATTGTCCCCTATGGCAAGAATCTCGAGATTGGTCAATAATAGCCGGGGTTCCCGGCAAATCCTAGTACAGAAAGAAATCAAACAAAGAAAAATACGGAATACTCTCCTGGGTAATGCAGGCGGCACCTAAACCTTTGGAAACACGATCTTGGGTCCTAAGTTCTGACAGTGGCTGACAGCACTCCGTAGGTGTCTACAAAGTACGGAGTAGTCAAGTTAGGTTTGGCCATCGCCTTTGCCCCGGTTAATCTTAGCGGTCTTAGCGGTCAATCGCACTTCGATCAGCCAATGGAAACCCGTCTTTTTGAATATTCGGATCATCGAGAAAACGTGGACTGGGGACTTAGGGCAATTATAACGGAAAGGGGACCCCTACAACTCTATACTGTGGCTGTCAAGTATAAATGGCCAATAAAGTATCTTGGATGGCGGTTAAGTGGATATGCGTTGGGAATCGTGCGGGCTGATTGGCAATATGATACCGCGCTATTGGATTCAAAAGTCAACTTACGAGCTCTTTCAAGTACAGTCTGATTACCCTATGTGGTGCTCTGCAGATCATTCTTTGTTCCTCGTGGAGTTCCCACCTTAATTTCCGTTGAAATGACATCATAAAGAGAGAAAGGGAAAAACAAGCATGATAAATTATAATAGATGGAGACTCTGACATGGATGATCCCCTATCTAAAGTGGTTTTAGAATATTAGGGGGGTTGACATGGAGGTAGTACTCTGTAGATGCGCTGCATTGTTGGATGTTGTCTAATCGGAAATATCCAAGAACAACCGAAACCAAGAAATTTTTGTGGTTAATTGCCGTCTGCCACGGAGTTACTTGGACTAGAGCCCTGGATTTTAAGCTTACACTAGTCCAACGTAAGCCAAAATAAACCTCAGGGTTCCATGCACCCTAAACATGAGCATGTAGATCTTAATTTGGACCTCTTTTCCGATGATCTCCGGATATTTCGAGTTTAACAATTCGATTTGAGATATGGATATCTTGTCTTTAGGGCTTGGGTGAGGGCTTCAATGCACCAAAGAACGATATAGATGAGCTTCAGCTGTCAGTGCCGGGGTTCGTCAAAGTAATCCATATCTTTGATGTTTCATGCTTTCCAAGACCCTGGCAATAGTCCACATCCACGCAGGACCCTGTACTGACCCTGTCCTGGCTACTTCGGTGCATGTACCCCATGGTGGAACTAGAAGTCCCGGCACAATGGAGATGCTAGTCCCACTTAATACTTCTCTAGGATGCCATTATACATGTTGATCCTATTGGAATCACGTCAACTATGGAGCGGACCCGCTAGTCTAGGATACTGCTGCTCTTGAAAAGCCGCAAATTTTTGAACAAGGGTCAGGGGCAAACAAGATCGTACCTGTAGATCATATTCAGCTCAAAGCATACCTATAAATACAGTGTTTCTCGCATCAAAAGGTTTCTTTTTCTTTCAAGCTTCTTACCACAGTCACTCTTTCAGCAAAACTACATATACAGCTACTTTTTCCAGTTTTTATATACCCATTAATTTCACAATGAAGGCCTCGTTCATCGCCACCGTCGCCGCTCTGGTCGGCTCTGCTTTCGCTGCTCCCACCCCCGTTGGTGGTCTTGATGGCCTCCTCAATGGCCTCAAGGTTGGCGATATCACCAAGGAGCTCAAGCTTAATGAGATCCCCGTTGTCTCTAAGCTTGGCGACTTGACCAATGTCCTAAACCTCCCTACCTCCCCCTCTGCCAGCAGCGCTCCCGCTGTTCAGGATGGTCACCTCGTCCAGAACCTCGGACCCCAGCTCGACAACATCCTGACAGTCGTCGGCCCCGACGCCACTACCCTTCTCATTGAGCTTTCCCCCGAGGTTTCTGCCCTCGTCTCTGGCCTTGGTCTCGGTGCCCTCGGCGCTCCTCTTGGTTTTATCGTCGCCTCCGCCTCCGGCCTTGGTGATCTTGTCACTGGCCTTGGCCCTGTCGTTGACGGTCTCGTCACTGTTGTCGGCGCTGACGTCGGTGCTCTCCTCATCAGCCTCTCTCCTGAGGTTGCTGGCATTGTTTCTGGCCTCGGTCTCCCTTCCGTTGGTGTCCCCGTTGGTACCGTCGTTGCTACTCTCGGCAAGAACATCAAGCGTGGCGAGATTGTCCAGGACCTTGCCCCTAAGGTCAAGACTACCCTGACTGTCACCGGCCAGAACGCCAAGAAGCTCCTTATTGAGCTCTCCCCCCTCCGTCACCTCCCTCGTTGCTGGTCTCGGTCTGACCACTATCTCCGGTCCCATTGGCTCTATCGTCGCTGAGGCCGCTGATCTCGGTGACCTCGTCAAGGACATCTCTGAGCCCGTTAAGGACCTGCTCTACATTGTTGCTAAGGATGGCAAGAGCCTCCTCATCAAGCTGTCTCCCTCCGTCATTGGCCTGGTCATTGGCCTTGGCCTTCCTACTGTTGCTACTCCTCTCGGTGACATCCTCACCACTGTTGCTCAGAACCTGTGAAATTCTTTATAGACTTATAGACAGCGATATCGCTCTGGTTGAATAGTTCCCCCTCGGCACACAATTACAACAATTCATTATATATGTAATACAACCTCTACATTATTTGAGACACAAAGTCGTCTAGTTAAATATCCTTTTATATTGATTAATTTCCCTGTATGGAATCAATTTAGTAATTCAAAGTCGGAGCGAGGAATCCTTTGGCATGGGTTGGAAAGATTGACCAGAAGCTGTCCAAGCCTCTACTCCATAATTAATATAGAGCCCGAATCACGAGATGCCATAATAGATGTACCCTTAGATTGCACCCGTCGTGATGTCCCCGTACGCCGGGACTGAATAGTTGCCGAAACAACTCTCCTCATACTTCGCCTTCACAATGTTGTCCTTCTGGGCTTTGATAAACGTCTGAAGCTCGCACCATCCATCATCTCGCTTCCCACACTTTGGGATACTGCGTCCGAGAGGAATCGTCCTCTGATTGATCAACATATGCACATAGGTTGTTTCGCCCCCCTTAGACTCATACGCGGAATCCCGAGGATCCTTTGAGCGCTTCGCACGTACAGGCCGCGGCGCTTTGATAACCTCAATATTGAAGCGGGCTGCGAACGGAACAATGTGGCTAACAATCAGTTGGTGATTTGGCGGCGGACCGGAGGTAGGAAGGAACTGCTCAAACTGTGTGAGGCCTAGCGCCGTCAACATCGAGAACATGGTGGTATCGTGACTGAAGTCCAAGTACAAGTTCTGGTTTAGAGGGAATGTTGTAGGGTTGGTGTCTAGTGTTTCATTGATGGCGGCAAAGCCCTCGTCGGGTTGAGGGTAGCGGTGCTGCAGTCGGGCGACGAGCTCTTCAACGTAGCCCACACCCACTGCCCGTCCGGTGGGAGACCCAAATCCGTTTCCTCCGTAATAGCTTAGTGCAAAGCTATACTCAAAGCCTGACCACTCGTCCTCGGTAAAGAGAGAGCAAAAAGGGCTGTACCCCAAGCCAACTGTCTCATATGGACACATTGTCTGGACAAGATACGTGTCCTCGATTGTCCAGTTTGGGTTGCCCGTCATCGACCGACGGAATCGGTCTGTTGCATGCTTCAGGTATTTATTCTGCCATTGGACACTTGCCCAATCTCCGCCGGCTGACCGATCGTTGTTGTTATTTGGGCATGCCTTGTTACCGGCCAGAGGATTTTTGAATCCAGTTTCTTCGATAATGACCTCCAAAGTGACGTTTTCCGCATATCGAGGGCCGAAGAAGCCATTCAGGAAATTTTCGGCTGACTGCAACATTCGCACTTGGGTGCACGTACGGGCGATAAGTGGCGAAGATGGATCATAAAGTCCTCCATAGTTGAACCAATTAAGCACACCGCTGTCAAAGAGCTGTTGGCGCCCAAGAGCGGTCAGTTCTTCTCTTCCAAGTTGATATTCCCAACTATTGAGGAACTCTAAGTTGCCAGTGAAGCGAGTCCCGTTGCTTAGAAGTTCCGCTATGCGGTTTGGAAGAGTAGCCACAGAGGCGCTAGACGTAGGATATCGAGATCCGTGTCGATGTACCATATGCATCTGTGTGATATTGGTGCCGGGGGGAAGTGAATATTCTTTAACCCCGAATCCTGAGGGATTTGGCATGTAAGGTCTTCGCACGATGATTAGTCACATAAAGAACGAGCTGATGAGCTATACCCATACGTACGAGATATTGCCCATTCGTTTGAATGATTCAGCACCATCGGCCTTTCCGATGATAGGTATATCAGTCACCACCGGGGTATTGGGCACATAAGCATGTTTGCCGAATGGAGCTGGGTTTGTCTGGGCAAGAAAGGGGGCGCTTCCGGCCTGTGTCGGACCTGTGTTTACATCTATCTGTCAACACTTGAGGAGTTAATTGATGGGAGTTGAGTGATATATACCAGCAAATGGACCATAGCCAGTCTGAAAATAATCGGGGATTGTGGATGTTCCCCTTGGCTTTACGATGGTGGTATCCACAGGTGCCGCCGCCCCAAGAAGTAGAAACTGAGGAGAGATATGCATCACGAATAGGTCTGTGTAGATAGAAGCTTAGCAACTGTTCTTCTTATTATTCTGTTCTCTAGCTCATGCTGGCCATTTATAGAAGCACAGTCCAGCTCGCACTGATCTTTGGGATGCGGAGGTGAATACTTACATTAACCTACATGCAGGGAAAACTCATTAACCGATCCCTGTCGGCAATTTCCGGTCAAATGGCACGAGAACAAACACCTAAAGTGGAGGTAATGTAACGTCCCCGTGGGGTCCCCGCGTTGTTCTTCCTAACGTCCAAATGCCCACAGCCTTAGAATATCCAGAATACCCCACTCTGCATGTGACCCCGTATTCCTCTCTCGCTAAGCTAAGTCCAAGCTTCTTCCCGCATAGGCAACGGATACGCCAAGTACACCTCTATCTATTGGCTGATATCTTGTTTTCGGAATCATGTTTCCTCTACAGTGTCAAATGAACCAATTGAAACTATTCTTTATGATATTTGGGACGGCCTTTGAAGGCAATAGAAATCAGTCACGCGATCAATCTTCTGTTGACAGCACTCCTCTTCGGAATCGGCTTCGCATCATTGGCCAACTAGTTTTTTCTCACATTCAATCTTTAACTACTCGGAGAATTGGGAACAACCAGCCGACAGTCTTAGACAGAAGCTTCGAGTGCCCTTTGCATAAATAGCCCGACTCGAAGAAAAAATGTCTCGGTATCCCATTAATCATTTCTCACTCTTGTGTCTACCTTTTTTCCTTCCTCATATCTAAAGCCTGGGCTTTCAGCCCCGAAAAAGACAGTCATGGCCAAGGATGACATTTTGTCAGCAGGGAATGCTCTGGATATCGAACGCCAGGATTCGGTGCCGACAACTAAGGCAACCAACAATGCGAAAGCAGCTACTGAAGCGGAGCATAACATGACCTTGCTTCAAGGCATCAGAACTTACCCGAAAGCCATTGCGTGGAGCGTTCTCATTTCCACATGTATCGCGATGGAAGGCTATGACATCAGTCTGGTCAATAATTTCTATGCATTTCCCCAATTCACAAAGAAGTACGGCGAATTAATGTCAGATGGCTCCTATCAAGTACCAGCTGCAGTACGTTGAGCCAGTGCTTACTGCCTCTTTCCCCTTCCCCCCACTGTTTTCTTGCTAGATTTTCAATGGTCTTTCTTTCAAGGATGCATGACATGTTGCTAATAACATTATCGCATGTAGTGGCAAGCTGGTCTCAGCAATGGCGCATATTGTGGAGAAATTATCGGTCTCTTGATCAATGGATGGGCCTCAGAGAGATTTGGGTATCGCTATACCATTATGACTTCTTTGGCCCTAATCACCATTTTCACGGCAGTATTTTTCACAGCGCCAAACATTCAAACCCTGCTTGTAGCGGAAATCCTTGCCGGAGTTCCATGGGGCATTTTCCAGACGCTCACGGTGACCTATGCTTCTGAGGTTTGCCCTGTCGTTCTAAGAGGATATTTGACTTCGTATGTCAATTTCTGTTGGGGACTAGGGCAACTTATAGGCATTGGAGTCATTAAAGCAATGTTAAACAGAGATAATGAATGGTCATACAGGATTCCATATGGATTGCAATGGATGTGGCCAGTTCCTCTCTTTATCGCAATTTATCTCGCCCCAGAATCGCCATGGTGGTTGGTCAGAAAGAATAGGGATGAAGACGCGAAGAAGGCACTTCTACGCCTCACGAATGCCGACCGAGTCGCAGACTTCAATGCAGATGAAACAATCGCCATGATACGACATACCACGAATCTTGAAGAAAAACTTTCAACAGGAGCCTCCTACTTCGATTGTTTCAAAGGAACCAATTTACGACGCACAGAGATTGTCTGTCTTGTGTGGTCTATTCAGAACCTCAGCGGCAATTCCTTTTCCAATTACTCTACATACTTTTTGGAACAGGCAGGATTATCACCATCTAATTCCTATTCATTCGCGATGGGACAGTATGGGATCAATATGGTTGGTGTCTTTGGAGCATGGCTCCTCATGTCTTTTGGAATTGGTCGAAGAACGCTATATCTCTATGGCCTCTGCGGACTATGCACTATACTGTTTTTGATTGGTTTCCTTGGCCTGGTTCCTAGTGCACACAGGGATCAAGCATCACTTGCAACAGGCTCAATGATGCTCTGCTGGGCATTATTCTATCAGCTTTCAGTTGGAACTGTGGCCTATTCGCTCGTGGCAGAAATCTCTACTCGTTCACTACAAATTAAGACTGTGGTGCTCGGTCGCGTCCTATATAATGTCGTTGGTATCATCTGTGGTGTTTTAACTCCCTATATGTTGAACCCTGCCGCTTGGGATTGGAGTAATTATGCAGGGTTTTTCTGGGGAGGAGTTTGCTTTCTTTGTGTTGTATACACGTTTTTCCGAGTTCCAGAAACGACTGGTCGCACCTTTGCTGAACTTGATATGCTTTTTGAAGAGAAAGTGTCGGCCAGAAAGTTTGCCAGCACTCAAGTTGAGGTATTTAGAGATCAGGTGGAAGTGGAAGTGTTCGAGCACACCGTCAAAGAATGAGGGTCTCGTACGTTGTCAGGTCCGCTGGAAATTTTAGTCAATAGTGGCAGGAAATGTGCCTTGTTCTATCTTTAGCTAATAATGAAAGAGACCTTTGAATCTATCTTTAATAAACTTTATTAATGTGTTCTCGGGAGTATAGAGAGGCTTGGGATATTCGACTTACTCATGCGCGGGGAAGACCTTTCTCAATTGCACCGAAATACTCATGCCACCGACATAGATAAGTATGTTGAAGCTTCCAGTGCATACTCTCATTGTGGTGCAGGCCGGATTTAGGTATAGGATATCAGGTATACATCTCCTCACTTTCATCTATTGCAATGTGAAACAGGAGAGGGCAGTTGTCGAGATAAAGTTCCTGCAGGGTAGAGTGAGACGTGATCCAGTCCAGCTGCTTGTCTTCGTAAAAGGAAAATTTGCCAAGAGAGAGCGACTTCAGATTAGGGAAGCAAACCCCGTCTAGTTTAGCATGAGGATCAAAGCCCCAGTATATTCTAGAGTACAGAGAAAGCCTTTGGGGCAATCCCATCGCGGGCTTAAGCCAGTACTTAGACAGTGTACGTGAGAAAAACTCATGTGGCTGGTATTTCTATCAGACGTATCGTCAAATCAGTATATATAAACCTTGAAATAGCCACGAGAAGGTTAGTATAAGCGGTAGTAAGCAGTAACGCAGGTGTATCTCTAATTCACAGGCAGCATCATCCTTTTCATACACCACGTTGAGTCTTAGAGATGTCAGCGTGCTCAGCACTTGATATATCTCATCCGAAATCTTTCCCGGGGGTGGAGCTATATTCTGATGGCTCTGGATCGCAAGCTCTTTCAATGGTCGCTGCAAAGACACTAATTCCGCAAAGAGTCATTTCAAAACAGTAGCCCCGTATAGGTCTGTCTGGGGTTTGTCGGCAAAAATGCACTTCGCGGAACAGTTCTTATCAAAGCGCAGAACAGCACTTTCCAGATTTGGAAGTTCCGGTAACATCGGCAAAAGCTCTTGCCTTCCAAGGTTTTTTTGCGGTGGGTCAATTTCCCCTTCCAAATCAGAAGCCTATTGTGTCGATCGGCCAGCTATTACAGAAAGAAAATACTGGCAAACATCGCTTTACGCTTGTCAAGCGGTCATATCTCACTTACATAGTCGCGATCCACGGTGTTGAAGTAGATCTTGCGTACGTGTTGTTTGACCTGTGGATGTGATATGCTAGATCTGAACGCTCGCAGCTTCCCTGCTCATATAATGAGATAATGCAAAATACATAACTGCTTGCAAAGTTACATAGCCTCCAGTTTGTTAGCCTCAGGGCCCTGAGGGCTTTTGAATCTAATACAGACACAATCATGGTGAGCAGCTCCAGAGGGAGAGTAATCCTGCTATCTTCTCTCGAGGTCTCCCGAGGTCTTCCCTAAGTTTTGATGTCTCACCCAGCACAGATTATGCTATGAGATAAGAAAATAAATTCAATAGTGAGAATTTTCTTCCCATTTTCCAGCCATTCATCCAGAGTGGGCGAAAAGGGGTTCAGGTCGCGATATTTGGCGCTAGTGATAGGGGCGAAAAGCGATTCTATAACATTTAACCGACGAAGTTATCAGGGAAAATGTATGTTGGAAAATTGCTTTTTGTAAGCCTGAACGCAATACAGACAATACGAACATATGAGTATCTTCAAGCGCAATAATCATATCTACGACCTACAAATCATAAAATGTTATGATGGTTAGAATACCACATCTGAGATCGACCCGCAACCACAAAGCGATGTATCCAAGGCTTAGCATATCTAATGATAACATATAAATATAGTCCTTATGGTTGGAAAAGGTTCATATCATGTTCAAATGTTATGTGATTGAATGTCAAAATACCAGTAGCCTAAGCGAACAGGTAGAAACTTAACCTGATAGTGAAACTATCGACCAAATGGATTTTCCCAGTTCACGTTGGAAAATGACTTCCCAGCCTGTGCTGAAAGGTTTTGTCCCACCGGATTTCCATATCCAAATGGCCTGAAGACGTGCTCAAACTCATCATTGAAGACCTCCAAGTTCACACAATCATACTCGAAAGTCCCCTTGGCTGTTGCCGTGACGCGATTGAGGTGATCCTGACCCTTCCATGTCCAGTACGAGGAACCCAAAGCAATAACCGCGCCGTTCCGGAGTCCGGTGGCAAAGGCAGATCCAACTCCATCCCACAGTCCAACCTTCGCTCCGTAAATATCACGTTGGATGAGGTTCTGGCCCATTTGAACGATTGCGCCAGTGATACCGCTGACGAGTGCTTTGGATCCGACAATGATGAAGGTGGCCAGGATTTTACCAGGCTTGTTGATGACTTCGACTGCACCTTTGGCAAAGAGACGACTGCAGCTCGTTGTCAGCGATGCTGATGATGATATGTAGGCACCAAAAGCCCCTGAAGCTGCTCCTGTGGCAAATGATATTGCCAGAGTGGCTCCGTAGCCTGCCCAGAATTTTCCCGCGTCTTGTTCCTCCCGATGTTCCCATGAGTATTGCACCGCAGCCAGTCCACCACTCATTAAAGCACCAGATAATCTGCATCAAATATGTTAATTCGGGAATTGCATAGGTAATGGTAGAGTGCCAAGTTGAATACTTACGCTGCCAGTCCAATACCAGCTCCTCCTGTGGCTGCAATTGCTATACCAACTGCCAATAGAGTCAGACCCAGAAGCAGGCCACCCCAGAAATTTGCGCCCCAATGTCCGGTGGGATCGACATGGTTGATTGGGTCGTTGTTTTCAAATGCATATCGATTGATTCCATCCGCCTCCGATAGTGATTTCTCATCCAATATGTCATCCGGTGTCGCAAAACGAGCGACAAGTGGATCGTACCAACGTGCACCAAAGTCAACCAAGCCTGTGTTGGCATCCGTGGTGTTAGCCTCGTAAGTTGACGACAAAGGAGCATCAGATGGTGATAGACTGCCAAAGTCATCGTATTCCATATTGTGACAGAGCTTTCCGTCACCGCCAAATAGATGTGTCACATTCCCCTTAGCATCTGTGAATGCTACTCGTGCAACATGAGTCGCCTTCACATCTTTTTCAACCGGCTTTTCCGTCGTGATCGTGGCAAGCAATCGCTTGTCTGGACCAAACATCCGGCGACGAATTTGCTGCGATCGATCTGGACGAATCAGGACGCTCAGCTCGCGAGTGAATTGAACTTCACGGGACCCATCCTGCAGAGTGCGCATGAGGGTATTGCCTTGCCCATCAGATAGAATGTGGCTGGTATTTCCGTTGGTGGTGTCTGTGATGGTGGCGATGTTTCCAAATCCATCGTAGGAGAAGGAATGGGCCTTGGACTGTTGCGGCAGCTCACGCGAGATCATTCGACCGGCATCATCGTATTGGACCCGAACAATAGACTGGTCACCGTTTGTTCCGTCAATCCATCCAGGACTAGTGCTCAGAAGCACCGCTCCTTTCTGGGTGAGATTACCGGACAAATCGTAGACGTATTTGTTCAAAGGCCCTGTCTGGCCTTGGGAGGCGACAAGCCGACCATCTTCGTACGTATAGTCCGAGGTTTTTCCCGAAATAAACTCATGGACACGGCTCAGCTGGTCAAGGTCATTGTAGATGAAGTGATTTTCGACCAGAGATGCGTCCGGAGTGCGCAGTGAATTCTTGAGAGGGAATCCGATCTGATCCGCTTGCATTATTCCCTGGAAATCCTTCAGCCCGGAGCCATGAATAGACCACTGCTCGGGCCGTTCAAAGGCATTGTAGTTCTGGATTTCGGCTTCCACGTTCCAGTCTTCGCTAGAAAATGCGATGCGTCCGGCTTGACTTCCTTGATGTTGAGTCTTTAATGAAGATCCATCGAAGAAGCACCGGGAAACGACCTGACCCCGCCAGTCATATGATAGATCCACAGAGAACGTCTCGTCTTGACCGGTGCAAAGGATCGATCTTGCCAATCTTCCTTGAGAGTTATACCGGTATTCCCAGCTTGCATCATTGGTCTGGCTATCCGATGATGCTGCAAAAAGCACGCGAGAAAGACCATCCCTACACGCTCTATCATATTCATATGATACTTGGCGACCATTTCCAGCGACAGACTTGATGCGGCGACCTTTGGCATCATAATCATGAGTTGTAAGTTCATCCAAACTATTTTGCTCACTGACCAAGTCACCAGAAGGACTGTAGGTGCGAATGACCACGTTTCGGTACGCGTCATGAGTCTGCAAGATTTTTCCTGAAGTATTGTAGGTCCGAGTTTCAGTTTTGCCTGCGGCATCTGTGGCAGCCACCATCCGGCCCATGGCGTCGTATGTGAACTCAGAACGTTCGCCCTTCTCATTTATTTTGGCGCTCAATTTTTCACTTCCGTTGATTTGAATATAGAAGCTCTCTGTTCGAGACAGACGTGTAGCAGCTGCTGGCTGCCCATGCCCAAGGCTGGATGGAATTCTTTCCACGACATGTTCAACATGCGCTCCTCCTTTCCGATAGATGTTGCGGGAGACAACAGTGGAATTGTCATTTTGTCGATGAGAGGGCTTGGTGATGCTGATGGGCCGCTTGAGGCAATCGTACTGGCATAAAATCTGTTGTTCCGGGGTAGGACTCCAATCCCAGTCAGATGGTCCGTTGTCGGCCTGCCGGTGTGGCAGACTTTGGACAGTGAGGTAGCCTTGCGGGTTATACTCGAAGTGCTTCCATACGGGAGGAGAGATTCCATGCTGTTTGCGCTGCTTGCATGAACGTCCAGTACAGTCCAAGGCCTCCTCTAGGGTGTCCTGTCCTTCGAGGCCTTCTTGGAAATGAACCTTGGTGGTGGTGCGTAAATACTGTGCATTGGAAGGAGTTTTGAGTCGATCGTATTGCAAAGATTGATTGGAACAAACCCGCGCAGTTAACATGAGGGTCGTCAGCTCGGACTCTGCAATGAAGTGGGTAGCTGACAGCATGTCCTGAGCAGATATCTGGTAGTCTGCTTGGTCTCCAACGTTTCCAGAACGGAGCAAACGTCCAGAGTCATCAAATTCACTAATCTTAACACCACCGTTTGTTTCCCGACAGACGACCTCATGACCAAACCGGGCGTCGTAACCTGACAGACGCACATGATCGATACCAGTCCCGGTTTCATGGATTTTGACAGGGTAGCAGTGGAACAAGGTATCATACTCAGTCCGAGTCTCCAACCCAGATGGGCTCTTGTTAAAAATTTCGTTGCCATACACGTCATACTCGAAGATTTGCTGGGCAAAGCGGGCGTGATCGGATAGCCACTCTCGAGCGGTGTGCACTGTTCCATGCTCAGGGTAATACTCGAAGAGTGATAAGCGCAAGTCTCCCTCCTCAAATTCACGCATGTTGATGTTGGACTTCTGAGTAGACATCTTTTTCGAAATCGGGAGACCAGATGAAGAGCCAATCGTGGTGTAGTCGTATCTCGTCCAGAGAGTGTGCTCATCCAGTTCTTTTGAGCATTCCAGAAGAACATTTCCTTCGGAATCATACTCATAGGTGCGACTAACTGTTCGTGCAGGCAATCCGCTTTCCATTGCAGTGTGGACTTCAGCTGTCTTGTTCACACGGAAAATTTTCTTGCCTCCTAGCTCCTGGGATCTTTCTTCATAACTGGTCACTGTCGATTGGAGCAGCATTCCATCATGCTCGCGGCCTTGGATCTGATCAGTTTGCCGTTTGCACCCCGTGAATGGCCAAGATTGTTGATAATGATCGATCCTAGTGTCGTCGCTGAGAGGTTGGTAACTCGCGATATGCGAGAAGCCTTCCCAGCCGTAACCTCGAGGGTTGACTCGGGCTCCGTAGTATTTCTTCTGAACAATATCCTGGTATGGAATACTGTTGATGGATGGATCGTTGGTACTTCGAATCTCGGCGACAACGTAGCTAGGCGATCCTTTCACTGTATGTGCACCTCTCTTGACAGATGTAACATTGAGCGATGACATTGTTGTGGACTTATAGACGTCGCCATTGGTCATGGGAGCATAAGTGAACGATGTGGACATCCCCATAGGGTTCCGAACTGACAAAAGAAAGTCCTCACAGACCTTTCCTGTATTGTAGATCGGATGGACGGTAACTGCATCATTGAAAACACTGTAGAAAAGCCAATCGGCCAAGGAGCTTCCGTTGAGATCGGCTGGTACTAACTCCAACTTGCCCATAGGCAGTTGACTCTGCTTGGCAATATGATACCACTTGGGGGGCCTGATCAGGCCGGAAGAAGAGCCTTGGGAAATCAGCGTAACGTAATCGTTACTGTAAAGCTCCTGGTACACATAGGCGATTGATGGATAGTTGGTACCTCGAAGGTCGGTGACATACATCTTCCCCATACTTGATGGCGCACGTCCCGACTCCGCGATATGAGAATATATCTGAGGGACGCCTTGCAGGGAGAAGCTGCCGGCGCCATTGTTTAAAAATGTTGTAAAGGTCATGCGAATCGCTGTCTCCGTTCCCCTGTCTTCCATCTCCACAAGAGATACCACGAGATCCTGGACACCGTCACCGTTAATATCACATGGAAGGACAGTGATCCCTGGAGTTTGGTCGATTTTGAACAAGCCGAGCGACGCATCTGATGAAGGAATGAGAGTTCCCTGAGATCCATCTACGGATTGTGAGCGCAAGGTGAATGTAGTGGCTCTCAAGTGATTAAAGCCCATCCCATGGTCGTCAGCCCACACACGGACCAGACTATAAGATCCGTCACGATGAGTGGCCATCTGCAACCAATCAACTGTGTGTGAAAAGTCAAATGTAGTCGGTGTCTCAGTGGGATTAGCGAGAGTTGTTTGTCCACCTTCATTAATGGCAGAGAACACCCGGAAATGCAGTTTCCCGGCGTACGGGTAGATTTGCAAAATATCCGTGCAGCCATTACCGGTTAGGTCTAGCGACAGGAAACGGGAGTCGGGGTTCCAGCTGCAGTCTGTCGGCTTCAGAATGTAGTGCTCGTACCCGCTACCCGTCGAGGGGGATATAGAGAAGCATAAATTGCCATTTGTGTCTTCGAAGGGGATGATCAGATCAGTGAGTCCGTCTCCGTTCAAATCCCCCGACAAAAATGTCGGTGTGGTCTTGCCCATAGCAGTGGACGGCAGAACAGCTTCCGCGCCATTTCCCTCTGACGGGGACCACTTGATGGTAGGAGGCTGATCTTTCTGCGCTGCTTTGCCATGCTGTGCCAGATATGTTTTTATGCTGAAATTCCCCGTGCTTGAATCGTAGCGAACACACCCCAGGTCTCCAAGAGATCGCCCACTGGCGTTCAAAGTAAGCAGTGTGACATTGTCAGTGGTGTCATTCAAGGTTGTAGATTCTTCGTCCTGGCCGGAGAAGCTTTTTTGTTGGTCGGAAGCAGCAGTATATTCGAAGAGGGTTGGAACCAAGCGCGTTCCTGCGCCTGTGACCTCGGTGATTGATCGCAGTAAAGAAGATCCAGAACTTGGAGAGCAGGTATATTCCATTTCATGGGCACGGATCACCGCAAATTTCTCCAGAGTGCCGATCGCAACTCGGATGCATGCCAAGCGATGGGCGGAGGTAATCTTATCACCATAAGAGGTGTGCACCACGAGATCATCTCTTGGAGTGTACTCCAATAGAATCAATCTGGTACCAACCAGACCAGTCTTTTCATTGGATGTGTAGATGATGCTAGTGAGATAGGAGGAGTTGTCACCCGGCAAATTATCGTACTTGAACTCAACGAAGTTCCCATAGCGGTCAATTTGCTTTCGCACGCGCCATTCAGAAGCCTGTCCAGAAGAGTCTGAGAGAATTGCTTCATATTCTCGACGCGCTCCGAGGGTATCTCGAGCAATGAAACCAGATGATGTCGCATAAATTGTCTCCCCGTGGCTATCAATTTCTTGTTTATAGACGGCATTCAAGGAATTGTAGTCATCCCCTTGGATCAACAACAGCTCGCTGCCGTCCAGAGCTAGCCGGGGTATCGTGCGATCGTAGTTTTGCTGCGCATTGAGACTGTTCAAGGCCAGGCCGGCGGCCTGGCGGCGGATTGTCGACAAGCCCCCAAGAGACCATCCAGTCCCTAGAATACCATTCGGGCCACCTTGGCAATATTCAAGTGAGATCTGGGGAGTGCTAGCAGCTGTGATGCCCTGGGGCACATTGACGGTGAAAGAGTATCTTGCGATGCCGTTGCCATCAACATGAAAGTTGCCAACAGGCAAGGTAGCTGCATTCGCCATAGATATTTCGAAAACGTGAATTTTTGGTTTGTTCTGTTATGATCGATGTGATGATGGATTGTACCCTATGATTCATTTTATATACCACTCCTGTCTATGCTGCATTCCCTCTTTCCCTTGGACTTTTTTCCTCAGGCCATCGGCTATGACTACCACCCTGTTTTCATGATTGCGCTAGTATTTTTGAATTCCGAGTCCTGGAACAGTACGAGGGCTCAGCTGAGGAGGCTATCTTAGCGATGTAAGCTAGTTAATGTGGCGTTTAGCTTCCGTGATTCTGCAACAGAGAAATATTTAGCGAGCAGGGATTCGTGCCAAGCATCGGACCCGCAGATTCTAAAAAATGCCTATACATATCACACTTCATACTATTCTAGGCAAAGAGAATTTGAAACAAAGAGTTATTCGAGCCGAAACTACCTCCGGAGCAGCCGATGGTCAGGTGCCTGACGGTGTGCGTACGATTGCGCCCCCGGAATCCACCCGTGGACTATTCCCCTGGTCTCGACCGAAAGTCGAAAGTCTACTGCGTTGCTATAGAAATATTTACATAAGAATGCTTCTCTCCCATGAGGACAGAGGGCAGACAGCTAGATACAACAATTATGGACCTTTCTTTTGTTCTAGTTCGCCACAACCCAAATGTGCAGCTGGAGTTTTACAGTTGTTCCCCGAACCTCACGGGCTCGCTCCAACTGCAATACCAAGCGTCACACCCCGCCTTGACTCCTAGCATCTATCGGTGCCCAAATCTCGCCTTTGACTACAACCATGCGGAGCTTCTTATCTCGGCATGGAAGAAAGTTGGCAATATCCCGAGTTCATCCACACTGGCGCTCCATCGTCTGTCCTCGTATTTCGCGCTTGGAGCCACTGAGCCAGGATTCGAAGCTTATCCCAAGAATCTCGGCAGCAGCAGTATTCTCTACTACCAAAACCAAACATATGTCTCCCGGACAACTGTGGATAGACAAGAAGCGCCTTCGGGTGTCTCATTGTTCATTCGTCCATCATCGCAGAATGCGAAATGGACTCAATTGCCTTTAAAAGCTACTCGGTCTGCAAAGGCAATCAGCTCGCAGCTTTTGACCCGATCTGCGACTAAAGGAAGCTTCCAATATGTCCACCATATCTGTCAAACCGAGAAGGGAACTTTGTTCATCGACTCGGTGAAGGATACATTGTTCATGGACTTTTCTCCCGACAATTCCATCTTTTGGCAAAGCGTTGAAGTTCCAAACTCCGCAAGCCTCGGGATCTGTGAGGGCAATTTCTCCTCCTGCTTGCTTTTTGATCAAAGCAATGGCCAGTCAAAATGGAAATTGTACATCTTTTATGTCACCAAGGACTCTCCTGGCTCCACGGAGAGCAAAATCAAGGCATTCTACATCCCGCTCCGCCAGGACGGTTCTCTTGACAAGAACAAGGCCGATTTCCAAGGCTGGCAGGTCATTGACTCCTACAATCTTGCATCCAGTAGCACGCAGCCGGGCCCGATAACTGCGCGACTGGACGAAGGCGGCAAGGCAGTTTGGTTGGTATACACTGTTGGTGGTGGTCAACCCCGGTGTGTCACGGCCTCTTTTGGGGAGAATGGAGAGCTTCCTAAATCTGGAACGCAGTGGTCCCAGCGAGAGATGGAGCTAGGCTTCGTCCCTTCTGAAAAGGACCAATACACGTCAATTTTTCTTCCACGGGCTTATATTGAATGATCAACCTGTTGCTAGTTTTGAGAACTATTTGTGATATTTTAATTAATTTCCGAAATTATTTTCGATATGTGGATTATGTCTGTCTTCAGGCTAGTTAGATAAATGGTCGATAAGCAGTATGATATGGCAAACCCCCTGATCTGAACAGAAAGATCTAAGAGTTCCTTTATCTAATTAGATAGGAAGTTGTGAAATTGCCCGAATTTGTGGAGTGAGAGAGAGTCAATATGGAAATTATTGTCTAGGGCTGTTATTTAATATGGGCAAGATATACCTATTGAGTACTAGTAAACTAATTAAATATCATACCACCTCCCCGAAAAATATAGAAAATGACATTGACCGTAGCGATATCAAAATATATACCTCCTAATAGTACACATCACATTCTAAGTCATCTAGAACCCCCAGACAGAATCAGTTTCCTTACTCGAGAAGGATAAATATAAGAGCACAATGACAGGATGCTCAAATATCAAAGAGTCGCTTGCAGTCGTATTGACTATCATTGAACTAGCTAAAGAACCCCTTTGAATTGTTAAAGAAAGTTTGAGGAAACTGGATCACATCAATCAAAACTGAAATTCAAAGACTCAAGATGGTACATAGTGATTATCAAAAATAAGGGGCCGAAATTATGTAGCAAGACAACACTTGAAAGCAAAATACACTCGGTGTGAAAGCTATTCCAATACTCATTCTTCCTCCCACACCTCCTGGACCACGGTGATGGTCATGGTTTGGCCTGACACTATGGACAGTCGCAGTCTGAACTTCAGCGGGGCACCGCTACTGGAGGTTCCCTTGTAGGTGTGGATGGATTCAATATTGTTGCCGTTCTCTGCAACCTTAGCATATCCATTCTTCTTGATGTCCCAGGACTCCTCAATATGAGCTCCGTAGTAGCCAACGTACGGATTGGAGAAACCCTTGACGTGAAATATTAGCAAAATTCTCCGGGCGAGAGACCGAAGCAACTTACAATCACGAAAACAACTTCGTTGTTTTGATCCAACTTGATCTTGAAACGCGCTCCACCAGTGGTGCCCCCCCACGAATTGCGGGCACCAAATCCGCTCACGTTGTAGGCGCTCGTGTTGCTAGACTCGCCATGCAAGCAGCCTGAGTAGAAATACGTGCCGTCCGGGTTGATGGAAAACTGGGTTTTGTTTTTGAGTACCATCCAGACAGGTCGGAAATAGGCTTTGAGGTCTGCAGGGATGGTGGGAGCATCTTTCATCTGTAGAGAAGGTTAGATATAAGCCAGTATACTCAGGAGAAGGCCCAAGTCAGAATAAAGGGGATCTTACAGCATCACACCCCTTTTGCACCTGCTTTGGGGTATCAATGGGAACTTGCAAAGTCATTTCACCCATTGTAGCGGTTTTTTCTCAAGAAAGAAGCTTTTTTTGATAGAATGGAGGTTTTGTTGAAAGTTTTTACTGTGAAATTTGTAACCTCTACGCTGATTTATCTATAATTTCTGGCTCTAGCTCTAGCTATAACTTCGGGACCAAGATAGGTGATAGTTAGCGATTTCCGAGCCACCAAGCCAATCACAATCATACGACCCACCAGCTCGGGAGGGCCGAGAGGGCCAAAACGAAGAGCTCGCTGGTTATGACTTTGGATATAGGGGAAAGGGCACGAGACCAGATCGGCGATACACCATTTTGCCGTAGCGCAATTAATGGGGGTCATCGGATCGAGCAGCCTGGAAGGGCCCAAGCGACGAGCTCGCCAGATACCACCCTGGGTGTAGGTATCACTCTGGATGTATAGGAGAAAAAACACGGGGCCGCGTCAACAATACGATATGTAGTTGACCTTAGCGCATTTGTGGGGCTATTCTTCAGCTGCATGGCAGGAACGCCTCCAGATCTAGACCCAGGGTTTGTCTGCTAAATTAAGCGTTATCTGGGGTCTCACTTCAGCTGGTCGGCCAAAAAGACATGTGTTATCTCAATTTGAGTTATCTCGTATGATGAGTCTTCAGCTGTGGGTGCGCTAACCGACGAGGCCACTGGGGTTGATCTAGCCGACCAGAAGGACCCACGAAAAGCTATATTCAATGATATAAAGTAATGTACGCAATAAGACTTAGATAATTAAACATCGAATTTTTATCAAGTCAAGACCAGTTGCAACATGTGTACTGATGATGAGATTGTTGCGGCAGTCGCCTCTTTGCGCTTCCTTGAGCCTCCCCAGGCTCTGGACCTCGAACCAGCAACCTTCGACTTCCCTGTAAGCGACTCAGAAATTGCAGAGCGCCCATTCTGGGAGAAAAATTGGGATTGGTTGGAAGGTATGTCTTGATTGTTTCAAAAAAAAATCCGAATCACTACTAATATCTAACAGCCGCGGAGCATCAAGCGACTGCTGAAGATTTGAAAATCCGCCAGACCAACGACGTCCTCACGGCACCGACAGAGCCTGTGGTTTTTGTGGATACTAAAAAAAATGAAAGGATCCCACTGACTTTTGGACGGATCATTGCCTTAGCTGGTGACTTCTATACCAATCGTGAGCCAACAAAGGGATCTGAAATTGGTCTGGACTATGCCCCTATCTGCGGCGCCTTGCAGAAGTCAAAATCTGCGCCACTCAAACGCTTTGAAAACGCCGTGAATAGCTTGCTCCAGGACCGCGATGGTTACTTGGCCCAAATCACAAAGTTGCTAGATCATGAGCATCGCACCGTGGGGCACGCCAGAGAGCTGGGGAAAAGTGTTTCAAAGACATAGTAAGTCATCACATTTTTCATCTTTACGAAGTACACCTTTCACAAAAGCTCACACCTTCGTCTAGCCACGAAGGGGGGATCGAAGATCATTTCGACCCCGATAATTGCAAGCTCCCCGGCGATAAGGAATATTTTGATGCGTTGAAGGATAGTTGGGAGATTATCCAGCACCCCAGCTATAACTTGATGCTGAGTATGTACGCTTGGTTGGCCTTCACGAATGTGGATCATTTTGTTCGTTCCTCCTCTCCAACCCATCTTCATTGCCTGAGCTCTAACCACACAATTAGGGCGAGGATGCTGTCAAAGCATACTGCATTGGCCATGCGTCTGCCATGAGGCTTGCAGCAGAGGCACACAACGAACAAGACGCAACCAAAAAATGCCAAAAGCTGAAAGAAGCTTATGTTCATGAAGCTTTTGCCGCCCATTATCTGACAGACCTGTTTTCTTCCGGTCACTTACGTCCTGCGCGACGCTACTTGCATACACAGGATCGTGTAGAGATGGCAGCCGCAGGTGTGATGCAGTGGGACAAGCTTGGTGGGAAGCCAGAAGTTCCCATCTGGGATTATCAAGGACGCTATGTAGGTTGAGGACGCATTTAGAATTGACCCTTCCAGCTCACCACTAACAACTTTGATACCTAGATGCATGACGATGATTGTGCAACAGGCCTATTAGTGCGAAATGGAAATGGCGATCAGTGGATCGCATATGGAGATAAACAATTCTTCGAGCCCAAGAATGCCGTGAATCGTGCAAGAGCGTGAGTCCTTCCCGGGATTTTTCACTTCCTATTAATCTTGATGAAATACTAATTTAAATTACAGTGCTCATTGTCTTCAGGAGTCAGTAGACGAGGTCTACAATAAAGGCTTCAAGCAAGGCTGGAATCCAATCCCAAATGATAAACCAGAGGAAGAGAATAGTTGGGAAGAGTATTCCTCGTCTTTTGCAGCCAGGCAACTGATGCCTCTGCCCATGACAGCGCTGAAGTCGAGCAACTGGATTAAGGCATGGGACAATTGCGATGTACACAACCCAGCGCCACTATGGGTAGCTGGCACCCCGAATAGTCAAGACCGCGTTCCCGACCACGACTTCACTCTACGCAAGGATGTGAATGACCATTCCAACTTCGCGCGTGTAGCTTCCAGCCCTGCTAGCGAGAAGTATAAATTCCCTCGTATTCCTGGTATTCCCTATGAAAATGAAGATTGCAGACGAGTCCGAGATGCTTCATTCCGGGGGGACGATCAGTTTGCACAACAGTCTGTGATGGATGGACTACTCTCGGGTAGCTTTGTGCAGGTTCAAGATTTGATCAGAAATGTGGCAGCTCCGGAGCATGGCAAGTTGACCTGCGTGAACTTCTGGAATCCTGCATTGGTTGAGATCAGTTCCAAAACCCAGCAAACTTTCACTATTCGAAATCGTTCAATTAACGCTGTTGATCTCAGCGATCTGCCTGACACGGCACTTCCTATTCATTGGGCGCTACAAAACAGCGTCGATCTAACGATCACCATCCTCTACGGCTTTTATTGGGTGGCCGACGAGGACAAGAAACACGCACGTATTGCCTTTAACAATACCAGTTTCCGAAGCTGGATTGGGGGGATGGGCGAACGACAGAAACTGAACCTTTCTGAGTCGTGGGAGGCCAGGGCTTTCAGAAGTATGAACACGATTACGCTTTCCAGCAATCTCCCTGTTGGGTCAGCCCCCTTGACGCGTTTCCTCTTCGATAAGTTCCTCGTTGAGGAAGGAGATCATTCAGAAATCGTGTCTGATAGAGACCTTCTGCAAATTTTGGCTGTCTCGGTGTTGCCAGGGAAAAAGGTACAGATCGCTATCTGTGACGATAGGCGCGTTAAGTGGCGCGAATCACCTTTCAACACTATCCAATCCTTGCAATCCCCATGCTTTGGTTTTGCGAAGGCCTTTAACACAGGTCAGCACCAAAAGAATCTCTTGCTTTGCAACGCCAATTTCACGGGCGGAAAGTCAAAATTGGATCTCTATGAGTACAAATTTGAAGGAGCAGATCCCGAGCAGATCACTGTCATTGACGCGCATACCCGGCTGGAATGTAAAATCAACAGTGAGGAGGAAGGGGACTCCAGCGTTTTGGTAAGATCTGTCTTTCCATGTTAATAAAAACTATACTAACCACCCTCGCAGGTTGGCGACGTGCTCGGCGTGGGCAGTGATCAAGTTGTTGTCATCAGTGGTGACTACAACAACCCAGAGATGCAGCTATACAGCCGATCCATGGAAGCTTCCACCCCGAGTGCATTCACTCTGGCGGGACGTAGTGCATTCGATGAGGGTGACTACTGCGATGACAAATTGATTCGCCCATACCTTACTGCTCTCGTTCCATCGTGTACAGGCAAGGGATCGGACGTCCTTAGGATCGCTCTTCATCAGCGCAAGGATGGTCGGAAGTATCTTTACTTCCATACTCATGTCCGCTCAGCGACTACTGCTCCAGGTCCCAAGTCTGTGATCTGGACACAGTACCGGTCCAGCGAGGTATATGACAAGTTGGCTGACAACAAGAACGGGCACTATTTCCATATCAAATTCATTCCTACACGGCGTGAGCTTAAGTACAAGGGCTCGATGACAACCGTCCCGGCTATTTTGGAGGTGTTCAGTTGGTATGGTGTACTCGGAGTGCGAATGTTTGCGGCTTCTTCCCCCAATGAGTGCGACTATGAGTTGGAAGGCCAGCAACCATTCTTAGGACAAACCTCTATCGGGGCTGGACTGGGCTGCTCTGGTGATTGGGGTCAAGGATTCCTACCCTGGAACGATAAGGATCGCTGGGTTGATTCCAACGTTTTCATCCCTCTTCCAGGGTCTAAAGAAGTCCAGGGCTCCTGGGGAATGACTTTGGATGATCAGGATCGACAGCCTGTTAGGGGATGGGAGGTGGAAAAACGACCTCATTGAAGCGGTTTCCTTGAAAGAAGTAGTATCAAGGCATCAGGGCGGTGCAAATATATAATTATGGGACAGATTAGTGTTTTATTTCGAATAGGTGTTGGAATGGTATTTAGTGTCTGGCTGTGCTTGCGCGTAATTCACGCTTTCGTTCTCCGCTTTAAGTCTACCATGGTAAATGAGGTATTGATCGCCATCAGGACAGATCTTGAACGTAAGCTGGCTGTTCAAAAGAAATAACATGCTCAAGATAAACGACAATATGCCGCCACCGAAGATGATTGATTTCTAATCGACCGCCTTAAGACCACTCGGCCTAGCTGCCAAAAAAATATTAATCGCTTCTAAATTATCTATGGGTGCATCAAGAATCTATATAGCTTCTCGGGTTTCAAGCTAGGGTTTGAACCACACGGGTTGGATGCAAAAAAAAAATATTTTATGTATCTTTTCCATGCAAAAGGCACTTCGAACCTAGCGGCATGAGAATATATATATCCCGATCACATCATTCAATTAAAGGAAGGAAATCAATATCAAGGACTTAGTCTGCTTAATCCACTTTGAATGCAAGCCTTTAGCTCTAGAATATATTTCTTGTTATCTCAAGTAGAAAAATTAAGAACGATACCTGAAGTGTATTGTGCAAAATTCTGCTAAAAGCTCTTCGCCTTAATTTCTATATTACTATACTATCCAGTCTTCATCAACTCGACACTGTGTCCATTTGATACAAAAGTAATGATGTGCTTGAGATATATATTTCAATAATACTAAGTCCGAAGTAGTTTTTTTGTATGTGTATCCCATAGAAAATGTACCTAAAATATAATAGTGCATTCAACTTGACCCGCGCAGTTCGACTGTTATAATATTGCTATCCGATAGTATCCATGTCCTAATTCCGGTTCTAGCCAAGTACGATAATCCGCAAGTGCTTAGCATATCGTCATGTTCCCGGTGAGCAATAATAGATAGCTATCTATACTACTGAGCGGCTGATTCACCCGCCGAGTACAATGAAGTCGCGCTATCTGGAAAGGCCATGGCTGCTTCGGTACGCCAACCAATAGGTCCTATAACATGCAGACAACTGCAAACGTAGAAGCTTGGAGAGAGCTGTAGCGCTTCTTGCAGATGAAAATTTCCAGACTGGGCGTGGCCTGCGCATAGTGGAGGTCATGGCAGACATGTATGATGCCCCGAGGCCCTTGGTCCTACAAGATCAAAGCATTTGGGGAAAAGATAACCCACGCGACGGCTGCATGACGGCCCCGAAGAGAATTGATTATGAATTTTTCAAAATTTTGGAAGAGCATCTTTTGAAGACCTATTTCCTAAGGGGTCTAAAAGTTAGAACAGCAGGAAGATGATAATACCTCCAGGGCTACCTAGGTAGCCCTGCCCTGGAGGTATTACGTATGCCTTAATAATCGAAGTACCGAGCCCCAGGGGCTGCCTCTATCGAGGTGCCCACCGGTGGTTCTGCTGACGTTGTAGGATTACAATGACATAGAAACAGCGGGTTCATTTCGACTATAAGTGAGGATCATATACTCTATATGAGAGTTAAAAAAAAGATATGCAACGACGGCTGCATGATTCGAACATGCGCCCGCGAACGGAATTGATTTCTAGCTGTCGGAATTGTTAGTGGATGTTTTGTGGATGAATTTTATAAAGAGAAACGTACTCAATCGCCTTAGACCACTCGGCCAAACCGCCATTTATTGATGGCTGAAATTGCCAAAATATGTATTATAACTAGAATATAAGTAGAAAATAAAATTCAAATCCTTCCTTTATTTAAAAAGTGCACATGAAGTTAATATCTAGCCCAGTATCACTTACTAGGTAGTTCTATGCATAATTAGCAAATTATCAATCTCTACTCCGTGATTTCCTTCAATTAAGAAATTTAACCGTGCCAAGCGCCCAATACACCTCTGCGAGGGGGCATAACGGCCAATGTCCCAATGGACTTTTTGGTCTGATTTCTGCCTGGATGATGCCTGATTATAGACCGCTTTTTTGACCGCTCTATACAGTGTATTGTAAATGGAGCTATTCCCATCATCATTTCCATCATCGCCATCGCCCTGGAGCTATTCCTATCTCCAACCATCGTTATGACGCACGAAATACTGGCCTACATCGATGTTGAGCCTCATAGAGCCGAGATACTCGATCTTCTCTAACAAAAAACCACCCATGAAGGTATTCGCATCATTCTCAAGGACAAATACCAGATTAAAATCAGCCGGACGGGCTTAACTAGGCGCCTTTAACGATATTGAGCTATATCATTGGATTCGGATCTACGCTTAGCGTCTCGCACCAACAAATGCGGATGAAAACAGTTGCGACTTCGACTTTGTAGAACAAGCGGTAAGCGGTCGTGGGAGTGCATGATATTTTGTATGGTGGGAATAGCTTCATTCTATTGGACTTGAGCACTTTCCAAGGTTCCCAGGGTACTTTGCTTAAATAAGACACCTGTCATTGTAATTCAGGTATTTTAATTTCTGCCTGTTTAAAATAAGGCCCCAATAAGGCATTTTCAGGCACAAACTAGGCCAAAAAGTCCATTGGGACATTGGCCGTTATGCCCCTTCGCACACCTCCGTGTATTAGCGCCCCACAGATCCCCAATTCTCACCAGATCCCCAACCTACAAATCAAGTATCTTTTGTATGACTTGCCCATATAAAGAATACTTAGGGTCAATATGAGTTTTTCTCAACCCTCCAACTGGCTAAAGTAAGAGGAAGAGCACAATTGTATAATGTGAGCGTAACTCGATGAATTTAATGTTAGTATTAATCATAAATATCTAACGTGGAAGAAGGACCATAATTTTAAAGAAAGGCACTATATGAAGTTATATGTAGAAATATACTGGGCACTTTCTTTTAGTACACTTATAACCCTTATAAAACCTTGGATAACTAAAATGAACCTCCTCTATACTATATATGTCTTCTTATATACTCCTAACTAGTTCGAGTTAAGAAAAGTTGTATAGAGCCCCTGAGGTGCTTATGTAGTATTAGCAAGCCATACAAAAGGTACATAATTTGTAGATTGGGCATCTGCTGGGGCGCACCAACATACACTCTGTGTTTGTGCGCCTGGCTCACTACTCTAGCTGTACCACCTGAGGTACATTTTATCCATGGAATGAATTCACTAACCGTCCATAATTCAGTCAGCGCCGTACAGACTAGAAATATCTATCTTTACCGAATCGATTAACTTTAGTAGTTAACTATATCACTATATTTTAGTATCAAGTAAACCATCCAAAATACGGTGATATATAGATTTTGTATAGTGTAACAGTCTTCATCTTCATATATAGCCTTAAGAGCCATCAAATCACCCAAAAATATGGTGATACATAAATTGGTATAGTGTAAAATATATTCATTTTTATGAACTGCCTAGGTAGAGAGTCATCCTGCCATTCTCTATATTCCCCAAGTTGTGTAAGCTTGAACACAATAAAAATACTCATGTATGTATATAATAACGAGTATCCTAAAACTTGATAATGAAAATTGCGATCAGCAAATCATGGTTAGAACACTAGTTGGCGCTGAAAGATATGTCATTAAGCTCAAAAAAAAATAGAGTAGTGTGATAGCAGGCATAGTATGCAACGTAGGTAAACCTAGTAAACTCTGTACCTCTATGACCTCTACTTTGTATGTACGTATTACCTCCCTAAATAGTCACAATCTTGGAAGATAGACGGTGGAATCCCGACTTTCGGTTTTGTATCTTTAGGTCTAGGAATAGGTACATAGCAATAATAGAAGAACAACAAATTCCTTGAATATACACCTACTTCGAGTTCCAATTTGAATTGCCGTTCAAAAGACTTCTAAAAAGCGAGAATGGCGTAGTATGTGGCTATAAATCCTGTAATAGGATATTTGCAAAGCATCTACATTGATGCAGCACCACACTCTACAAAGTAAAGAGATAAAGTGTGCAGTGCAGTCTATAGAGTTTGGATCATCAATTTCAGGCTAATATACGATCTTATTGGAATTTGGTAGAGATTGGTGTTTCTTAAGTGTTTTATTTCGAAGATGTCGATCTTTTGTTTTTTGGCATAGATGGAGGAATGGATTATGTGCCACTCTCAATAATCGTCCATGATAGTCATTATGGCTCCCACGACCTTCATGAGATCTTCCCAGATCAAGTTCATCACTAAGACGCAATCTGTCATGCTGGCTTCTGCACCTTGGGGGAAGCACTATTGAACCTGACTACATTGTTTTCGTCGTCCCGGTACGCCTCATTAACAAATGGCCGCAGTTCTGATGGCACGTTCTTGATCCTTTTATCGACCCAGACAAATCGTCTTTTTCGACGGCATATCTCTTCAAATGAGTCACCATCTAGGCCATCCACAAATGAATTAGCGATCGCAATGGCTTGCCACGTAGAGCTGCTCGCATACTCCACGAATGAGTCTTCTCCCTTGTCATCACGTAAGGAAACTCGAAAGCCAAATCGCATGCCTGGATCAGTTTCTGAGGCGCTGGTGGCATATGCATGGGGATGCCTTTTGCCCACAGGTGCTACCTCGGCTTTCACAAAGAAACGTCTGATTTGGAGGCGCCTGGTGGATTCGGATAGTTGCGTGCTGAAAGTTGAACTGGTAGGTGCTGAAATTCCCTTTCCTGGATTCGTGTCCTTTGAAGTGGTAGCCTATAAGAAGCTGAAACCCTTTTTGAAAGGCCATCTGGTTCACCTCTGTTGTATTGGGTGTCTTTTTTTGTAACCGGTCGATCATTAGTCTCTCCTCCTTTGAGTCAAAGTCTTTGATCGTTACACTCCCATGCTCAACCGCTTCCATTATGAGATCTTCATCCACCAATATTGTGTCTTCCGATGATACCAAGGTGTCTGGGGGCTTGATGATGTCGCCGCCCTCAGTCTTAGGCACTGAGATAAGCTCTTTTTGAACATCTTTCAGCAATAGGCGGACTTTCTGCATTGTCTCTGGAGAGATCACACCCCTTCGCCTTGTCTTTGACTGTGGGATTTTCCTGGGCCCTACTCCCGGTGGAGCTCTTGGTAAGACTTTCAAGAGAACGAGCAAACCAAGCCTCAATGACCCCGATGTGCACTCCGCAAGACGGCGGACATGATTGTCTTCCCTAAAACCTAACCTTTCTAGCCATATCCTTAAAGTTGGGTTGACTTTTCCTAGCTCTAGTTCGAGTGGGTCAATCCTCTGAGATCTCTCGTCATCCCACCCACGAATCACTAGTGCTACTGTGAGTGCACTCTCATAGAATGTCGTGGAGAGCCTAGTGCTTGAGACTGCTGACACGAACCTGAACAATACGTCAATCTTGACAGCTGCGGAGCCTTTGTTCGACCATAGTTTGATAAGAGGAGCAGGCGATCTCACAAAGATGCGCTCGATGGTATGGTGTCGGAGTCTTAGCCAGATTTCATAGCGGACACCCTGGAGTTCCAAAGTAAAGTTCTGTTTGAGGTCTTGCTCTGTGAGAGCTATCTTTTCTGCAAGTTTTCCGCAGAGCAGAATGACCCGCAGGCTGCTTTTCCCAATCAATTCGTGGGTACTTTTTGAGAAGAATTCCGTATCTGCATCATGTGGCATGCTGGCTTGGAATGTCCCTGGGATAAGCTTGTACTTTTGGAAACTGGCAAACCATATCAAAGAATTTTTGTCCGTGAACCCGCTTTCTCTCAATCCCCAAGGGAGGGATATCTCGCCATAATCGTGGCTCGGGACACTATCTAACATGATGCCAACAGAGGCTACTGTAGTGCCTACTAGGATTGCCAGATCACTCTTGGTACAATGATTCTTCAAGAGCCAGTTTGAAACGCCCTCAAACCAAGCCTTCAGATCTAAGGGCTGGATCTCGCTACCATGAGGCGCCCAGGGAATTTTCTCCTTTGACGGCCAGAAAACCATTTCAGCAAACTCTTTTCCACTCTGGATAGCAGTATAAAGAGCATTGATGTTTTCTTCCAGGCTCAACCTGGGGCATCTCTGAGTTTCGACCAGGTTTTTCGCTGAGGCGTTGGGCTGGTGCTTCTGCTGTGCTCGTATACTTGGCCACTCACGGATCTCGGGGTCTGTAGAGCCCTCGAGAAGTTTTGTAAACTCCCCCCGAACCCTCGGTGCGAGTTCCCTACCTTGCATCAGTGGGGGGACTATATTGAGACCAAGACTTGAGTATAAGCCTTCTGGGCAGGGGCCAAAATAAAGCTCAAGAATGGAGGGGGCAAGTGTCTGAAATGCGCGAGTGAATGACATTTCTAAACATTTTCGAACGCCTCTTTTGTCGAAATCTGGATACAATTTGGAAATTGTATGATCCACAGCCGAATGAAATTGCCGTAGCGGTAGCCTGCCGCCGAAGGGTTTGTGACAATGTGATAGTGCAAGGTATTGTTTTTTCCAACTCGTATTGCACTACAATGCTGAGGGATCCGAATTGCCAACACCGAGGCCTGTCCGACATATCCCCGCCAGTAATCCGTATCCCGAGAATCGGTTATAAAGTCACAGTAACCACCATTAGAATGAGGCCAAGGATCAAGTTCTTGCATCTGGGATGCACGGATTCTATCCAGCCTAACAGTTGTGAGCTTTTCTCGGCTGAAATTAGTGGATAATACGTACATTTCCACTGTGATTATTTTGCCTTGGAGGGCAAGAACACGAGGGTCGATTGCATTTAATGCCATTTGGGCGAAGTCTTTTTCACCCCCAACAGCCTCAATCACGGACCGATAGGCTAAATGCTCGATCAGGGTGTCTTTGAACTCTCCTCTGTGCAGTTTCTGTACAAGCGAAAGAATTACGGGCCCCATTTCTGGCATCTTGACCTGATGTTGAAGCTAAATGACTAGAGTCAGAGAAAGGGTCTAGATTATAGCAGGGAAAGCGGGGATCTTGCCTCGGATGTGATTTGAAAGGACCGAGGCGAATCTTGCATTGATGGCAAAGTATTTCGGAGCTCTCTTGGAAGTATTTGGTTCGCCTGCGGACAGTCCCTCTTGAGATGGCCTAGCTGGCCACATTTGAAGCAGGTTGGCTTCTCTTGCTGGCAATTATTCTTCAGGTGTCCCTTGTTGCCACATCGAAAGCAAGTTTGCAAGCTCACAGATCTGGGCTCGGGCTTATTCTCGTATTTCCGCTTTTTCGATGGGCAGTCATGTTTGAGGTGGCCCTTCTCTCCACATTTGAAGCAGGCTGGTGCATGTTTACAGGTGGCAAAATGGTTGGGCTTCATGAACTCATGGCACCACCTGCAGTGATTTTTGCAGTCTTTAACGAAGTGGCCACTGAAACCGCATCTTCTGCTAAACATGCAATCACTTGGAAGAAATGATGCCATGGTGAGATGGAGGGTGGACGCTTGGCAAGAAACGAAAGAGGAATAGACGATATCGAATCAAGAGGTATGGAAATGGAAAAGGTACAAAGCTAGAATGGAGAAGAGAGAGGCGGCGAGAAGATTGGCAAGCTACGTCTAACGGACGGCTCCAGGCACTCGGCCAGCAAACAAGAGGATTTGGCGATTGAACAGGGCAAGTCTTTGCTATATGAATGGCCTTCTCTTTTATAGTTAGATTTTCTTTCTCCATAGTAAATAGGCCCCTCATCATGTACTACTCCATGGTTCTTGATTAGCTCCCAAAGATGTTATGACTCCGACATCGTGCACTGCCTCTGCTTCTCTATCGTGGAGCGCATATTCTCTTCTGTGAATGTTCTTACACTTTGCTGTCGCTCCACGGTTCTCACTGTACGCAATCTCTTAGTTCCCTACACCAAGGGCCTACGTGCATCTCTGGCCAGGCTATTAATCAGCACTTCCATGCATAATTGGCGCTATCGCACACCCCAGTGCTCTCACGCATCTATTGATCTTACGTCATATGTACCTGGCTTCTTTGTCTTATTTCGTCAAACATCCAATTTTTCAGCTTTTCTTCTTTTTAAGCTTTTCGTGAAGAATTCCTCCACAATGTCTTAGGATTGACACTGCGCCTCTCTCGATAGTACGAACAAATGAAGTAAATAGAGAGACAAATTTTCTCTAGCGCTAATAAATCATAGTAATGAACATGAATGCAGGGGTATTGTCCAACTTTGAAATTGGGCTGGGAGTCGATAGCGGTTTACAAAGGTGTATAGCGGCGAAGCATCGTAGTATGCCAAGGTTCCAATGTTATTCTTCAGGTTGTTTGCTGGCTTAATTATGCCTGATTTCAGATTCGGCATAAATCAAATCCCTCCAGGGCCAAATATTACTATCATAGAAACCTTACTATAAATGGATTTTTATCTTTCGTTTATCATGCACATTCTGGCCAATTCAGGCATCAAATGGCGGTTTGGCCGAGTGGTCTAAGGCGATTGAGTATGTTTCTCTTTAAACACTTCGTCCACAAAAACATTCACTAACAATCCCAACAGCTAGAAATCAATTCCGTTCGCGGGCGCATGTTCGAATCATGCAGCCGTCGTTGCATATCTTTTTTGCATATCTTTTTTTGCTTCTCTATAGAGCACAATCTCTTCCTTATAGTCGAAATGAACCCGCCGTTTCGATTAAAATCGGAAAACTCGGGTGGGATTTTTCTATATAGATGCCGCATATATGCTAGATAAGGTAGGTAGTTCTTTAAGCGTAAGGCCAGCCGGCTTAACAAAGAACAAGCAGACTACGATAAAGACAACAACCACTTAGACATAGGACCCCTATGCTAGGAGTTTATGTAACCTGGAAATCTTCTAGCTAGAGCTCTATAAGCCAATGGAGTTGATGTGATCCGAAGATAGATGCCACCCAGATGCCGAGGAGGACGAATACGCATGTTTTGGCGCGCACATAAAGCGTCACAATCTCCACCAGATAAGAGTGTCAATTGGATACATATCACATGTACGTACCCAGCGTAATGATATCATACCATCAAGCGGTACGTGAGGGAGATCTTAAGCTTAGCCACATACCATATAACCGAGAACATAGCCCAGCCCCAGCCAACTCAAGACACACATATACTATCGACGATATTATTATAGTATCTTTCTTTATACCGGGAATGCAGTCACCGCTGCAGGAGCTTGTACTGACGGCTATGTCCCGCTACGATATACCTGGAACTCCATAGGGGTACGCTAAGCAACCAACTAATACAATCTCTACACAAACACACGAATATTTTGAAAAGATCAGAAACTGTGCTCGTATCAGCAAGATCATGAGAATCAACTCTCAACATAATTGGCTAACAAAAACTTACCGATCCCCTGCTACAAGCACTTAAACCAGATTCAAGAACACAAAATATGCTCGATAATAGAATACATACCTCAATAGCTCATTATCCACTAGTCACTGTAGTATGGCAGTTTACACAGAAACAACCAAGTCAATTGGCCACAGCTAAGACGGCTAGTATAAATACAAGGAAGAACTAGTTAATAGTGCATTCGAGTATTCACGAGCAGGTTTTTTAATTATCACAAGTGCCGACAGTTACACCACCAAAGACACTTTTGTTGTTTACTCTAATCTTAGAAGACCAAAGGCCTAGAACATGTAAGCGCATTACCCTCTTGTATCTACCACTTGCAATTAGCCACCAATGACAACGAGTACAGATGTAGACATGCTTCAGATTATGGCTGTTTCAGTTGAATAGAACCTAATAGTTATGAAAAATACAGATCTAACTTTTACGAGATCCTATATACCGACCTACACATGACCCCACGGAGAAGGGACACAAAGACAATGTCTTCAATCTGATCTAGATCAACACTGATAGATGATAAAGACTAGAGTCTTTCTATTTCAAGGCTTATGTGAAAGTGGACAAAGGACATAGTTGAATTATAAGCATTTGCCATCGCCCGCGGATGAGTATCATAACCAACTACCTATGTAGTTAGTAGTTAGTATACCAAAGTGAACGTCTAGCCCAAGATAAATATAAAGTACGTAAGTTAGAAGCAAGGATATCGAAGGCGGTTTGGCCGAGTGGTCTAAGGCGATTGAGTACGTTCCTCTATAAAAATTCGTCCACACAACATTCACTAACAAGTCCAACAGCTAGAAATCAATTCCGTTCGCGGGCGCATGTTCGAATCATGCAGCCGTCGTTGCATATCTTTTTTTTTTTTGCTTCTTTGGGCCAGAAATATGTATAAAACTCTTGTATAATAACATAGTATTATTAGTAGGTATTTTTAGTGCAAAATAGAACGCTTGTCCTATATGTGTTATACATGGATTTCCACGGGTAACGACATCCATAGATAGCCCTGGATTTGAGTGACTAAGCCCTCCAAAGAGCCCTGGAGCCCTACCCGAGCCCTTGACTGTCCCCAGTACAATGTAATGATCGACATTATGAAGCTAACTACGGAGTACTCCGTAGATTAACTCAAACCGCGATCTACCAAGTCTAGTCCATATGTCTCATAAAAACCCAAAGCTGGAGATATCTTCTAGAAGAAACCTTGGAGGTTGAGGTAGGGGTAACCCTAATCTCCAGTTTTTTTTTATCATCCTACTAGTATTATTATTAAGTACACCCTCGATTCCAGCAACATCTACCTAGACCTCCCAAGCCTAGCTTGGTGTACAGAGCCTTCTAACCTTGAAAGGTTCACAATGTGCTTAGAAAAACACCCCGATCACTCTCTAGTATCGGATCAACAAACATAGGGCGCAAAATAATTAGAGCGCTTTTTGAAACTTTATTCCCAAGTACAACCAACATCTTGTACTTTGTACAAGTGCTAGTTAGATATCTCTAACTTTGTATTAAGAACAAATTTTATACAGCCTAGACTCGCATATATATAATCTACCTTCGCCTCCAAAGTTATGTCCGTTTCTATTTGGATGCCTTGTCTGTTGTTGATAATGTGACATAGCGGATTGCTGTTCTTACCACTAGGCCGCGTCATGTTACATACACAAACATCACACCTCCGATATATAATCTTGTCTCGGGATAGGCGAGAAGAAAGGCCATAAAATATGTAATGAGCTCTGAATAATAAGGAATTGTATTGTGCAATGATTTTTGGTATGTACCCAAGTAACCGGGTCCAAGCTTGAGGCGCAAGCGTCCTATGAGAAGATCAGCCAAGTCTCCGCCATCGGGGCCCGAAAAGTCTCCAATTTTATTCTTCGGGGATCCAATTAAAATCAATATATATCAACAGGAGAAGGTCTTATCTTCGACTTTCTCCGCCACCTTTCTGTCGTTTTGCCTTGTATCTTCCTCGGCTTTTGCATATATCCCCTTACTCCAGGGTATCCTGTCCCCTAGAAGCTTCTTTCGCTTCTTCCGCTTCTTGTACATGTCCTTCTCTTGACCATATTTCGGTCTTACGATGTGTGTTCTATAATTGTACAATACCGCCGCTTCCACCAACAGCGATGTCCTCATGTCGCGTGCCGAAATCCTCGGCAGCAATTTCAGCCTCGCTGATCGCTCTGCCGGTGACCAAATCGCATTGCGTACTGTAGTCGCTTGCCTCATTAGCATTGCCTGGTATAATGCATTGGAATTGATCGTTCTGTGCTTTACAACCTTCAAGCGATATGGCGGGTGCTATTTTTGGTGTCTCCTTATTGCCTCATTCAGCATTATTCCTTTTGGCATCGGATATCTCCTCATAATCTTCGACATATATACCAACATGTTCCCTGTGGCAATGGAGCTAGTCGCTTGGGTCGGGATGGTAACTGGCCAGTCCCTAGTCCTCTGGTCTCGATTGCATCTTGTCTGTCACAGTCAAACAGTCCTCCGCGCCACTCTCATCATGATCATCGTCGACGCGATAATTCTACACATCCCCGGCTGCGTCCTCGAGCTCGGCAGCCATTCGAACAAATCCTACCTCTTCAGCACTGGGTTCGACATCTTCGAGCGCATCCAATTGGTCGGATTCTCCATACAAGAAATAATTCTCTCCATTATCTACTCCTGGGAAGCTGTGCGATTGCTAAATCTCCGCCCAAGAGGCCACTACCGAGGCACTCTGGTCCAACTCCTGATCGTGAACGTAGCCATGATCCTTATGGACGCCGCCGTTATCGGAGTACAGTACTCGGGCCTCTTCGACATCCATGTCGCCCTCAAGGCAATGGTCTACAGCATCAAGCTCAAGCTGGAATACGCAATCCTTGGAAAATTGGTGGTCATGACTGAGATGGGAAGTCACAACTCGGCCCTGACCGACCTGTCGGATTTCGTGGATCTTGCTTTCCAGACCTCCGACACCCCACAGCCGGATAGCGATAGGATCAGAGAAAATCCAGGGTACGGCGCTCACAATCGTATACGAGCGCCCTCCAAGGGCTCGTCTGCTGACCCTCTAAGAGATAGTCTCTCCACTGCCCATAGTCCGAGTCCAAGCAACCCGGACTGTTGACGGTTCCACATGTAAATAATGACCCCTCGGGTGTTTTTGTACATAGCAACTATTCAGTATATGATAATTCACGACACCATACCCCATCTCACCCGTCGAGCGTGAAATGTCTCACCTATAATGTATAATGAGGGGAAAGCGATTACCCCCTCACCCCTTATCTCTCATCTCTCATCGTCGGATACCGCCGCGAACATCATCTCAAACCGATCACGATATAACCCTCAATCCCCAAATCCACCGAATCCACTCAGAACATCATCGCCCACATATACCAAAATCCACAACCCAATCCATACCTCGCAATGGCCACTCCCAGCCCAACTCTACTCCCCCTAACCCAACCCCAACTCACCGCCGCATGCCACGCAGTCCTCCACCACCAAACACAAGCACAAGACCTGCACAAAAAGCGACCCTTTGCAGCAATCCTCTTGGCCCCAGACAACAAAACAATCCTGCTCTCCTCAAACTCTCTCTCGCACGTGCGGCATGCGGAAAGCGAGCTCGCGCGCAACGCCGCAGACAACTACGATTGGACGTATCTGGCGCGCTGCACGCTGGTGTCAACCTGGGAGCCATGCGCGATGTGCGCGGGCGCTATCTACTGGGCGCATATTGGGCGGCTCGTATATCTGGCGTCGGAGAGTGCGTTGGGGGAGGTTATTGGTGTTGGGAATCCGGAGAATTTGACGCTTGATTTGCCTTGTCGGAGGGTTTTTGAGAAGGGGCAGAGTGTGGTCGAGGTTGTTGGACCGTTGGTTGAGGAGGGGTGGGAAGGGAAGGTTGTGGAGGATAGTAGGCGGTATTGGGGATAGGGGGAGTAGATGTTAGTCTTTGGTAGGTATATCTGGGATATTGGTTAAGTGGTGTTTGGTTATAATATATATTGTAGACTGTTGTATAACGACTTTGGCGTTGACATATATATATATATATTGTGGTTAGCCTTGTACTGTACTAAGAACCCTGGAAAGTTGGGGGTTAGTGGTAGTGGGTTTCCACAGGGCTCGAAGGACATTGTGCTGTCGAGACAATGTATATATTATAGCCTGGTGTTGGTATTTGTGTTGGTATTTGTGTTGGCGGGTGGTAATGTGTGGATGAATTCTGTGAGCGCCACATACTTCAGTAGCTTTTGGTAGGCCTTGCCAAATTTATCGAAAAATTGATCTAAAAAATACAAGCTCGACCGTAATTCATATGTTACTGCACGAAATGAATGGTTTGGAAAAGAGATCTCTAAGGCTTTCGCTCTCTGGCATCACATAGAAGCACGTTAGTGTCCCGATAGTCAGGTTCCAGGAGAGGACCTCCACTGCGATAATTGGAATGACTGTCGATCAGCTCTGGAGAGTAGATTCAATTAAACTCGATCATACTCAAGATAAGGAGTGTCGAAATATGGATACTGTGGACACTATTCTCAATCTAGTAAAGACTGGGTGCACAGCCCCTAACAGCCACACTCCTTTTTTTGTGGCTGAAAGCTTGATCGGCCTTCTTAGAACCCACGAGCCTCTCATTAATCAGGCCACATCAACTACCCACAATTAAGTAGACCAGTATGAATTTGAAAATTAAGAATTATCCTATGTCGTATTGAAGATCCGAAGTGTTGACGTCAACTTGAGCAGAGTCTGATATCGTGGTCCCACATGGACCCATGGATGATGATGGGGCGCGTGTGCCAAGACCTCGATCTCGTCAACCTTGGAAGCTTGTAGATCTTAGGTAGTTTAGTGGGATTTATATGGCAATTAGTTGGAGCTATAGCTCTACTAAAGTAATGTGGGAAAGAACCAGCCCTATGGATATGATGAAGTGGATGACGTGGAGCTGCGCTTGAGCTACAGTTGGGTACGAAGTATGGAACCCATGGAGGTTAATATGACCTTAGATATGACACAACTTATATACCCAAACTCCAATATAACTTGAAAATGTTCTAGGCTGAACGTAACAGAAAAGAGTGTGAATAAAACTGGAATAACCTTGACTGGGAGGGAGCAGATTTCCGTCGTGGCCAAACAAAAAACGAAGTTGTGTCACGAAAGAATGACGTCAAGTGTCGATCACTAATTAGGTAGGTATAGTACCCCCCGGGCTGGGCAGCTGGGCAAATAGGACGGGTACAGAGAGAGCCCTTTAGGTGACAGCCCCAGAGAACCTAGGAAGGGCTATCGAATTGGGTAAGCTCCTTGTAGTAGGGATCATTGCCTCTGGATCCCCCCTGTTCATCATAATGGCGCTATCTCCCTTGTCTTTTATATTCCGTCATCCCTTCTTTCTTCTTAAATTTTCTTCCTCTCTACCATATTTTCCTTCATTCCAGTGATACCCCTTGTTTTGCACCTACACAGGTTCAATAAATAGTTAATTTGTGAGTGACCCTTGTTTGTCATGAATGCAAACGGAGAGCCCTGGACAGAATCTCTAACCCTGTCCTCAGTTCATACATAATTACCTCTTTAGCTATCCCACCCCTACATCATTGGCTTTTGATACGTACTCCATCATGTCTGTGAACGTTCCCACCGACTCCAAGCAGAAGGAGAAGGTATGTGTGACAATGCGACATCCATTGCAACCTCAACCACTAACAGAGAATCGCTCTAGGATATCAACCAGAAGCTTCAACTGTTTGGTATCTACCATGGTGAGTCAACCTCCACGTCGCCCTCAATTAATCATCGCCGTGCTAACTCTTTTTTGCTATAGCCTTCAAGAATAGCAAACTCCCCTCGGTTCGTCTCAATCCTCTTCTATGGCCATTGGCCTTGCGACAATTGCTAACTAGGCCCCCTCCTCCCACAGAACAAGCAATGCGACATCGCTTTGAACAGTGCCTTGAACTCCAAGGCCCTCGCATCTCCACACAGGGAACTCTCATCTGACGGAAAGACCCTTGTGGCAGATCTGCGCAATGTCATCGAGGCAGCTAAGAAGATGCTCTTGATCAAAAATGAGGGTGAACTCCTACAGGACTTTATCTGGCAAGCTCAGAGGATCTCAGGCGGAAATGCCGAGGCTAACCGCCCTGGGGTTGCCATCGACAAGGAAGCCGGTCAGCAAGATGCAAGCAGAGCCGTTGATGGCCTGAAGACCCTGGGCACACTCATGATCACCAATGGAGAGTTTAGAAAACTATGTAAGTCAAACTTCCGTTTTTGGATCATGGTCATTTCCTAACAAGGTGCAGTGAATGATGCCATGACTCTTGGCAGAGACATTGCTGCCGATGCTTCTCAAAAGGCCGCCAACCAGGTCCGTCCCTCTCAAGAGGACCTTTCGCAGATCGACCAAGCTGCAGAGGAAAACGTGTGGCACGAAAAGCCCAATATGTCCAAGGATGACTTGAAGTCCAAATTTAAGAAGGACAAAGCTAAGGCTGTAAGTATGCCTGATATGTCCTCCATGCGCGCATACTGACACTAGCTCAGGAAAACGAAGGCATCGGCGCAGTCACTGAGAATGAAGCTGGTGTGTCGCCGGAGACCAAGAAAAGGGAATATTCCGACAAGACCAAGAGTTACTTGTCCGAGAAGATTCCCAAGGAGCGTCGCGAGCAGACCGTCTGGCGCCTGAAGAAGATGATCATTGAGATCCAGGGTCATGCCGATTGTAAGTCAACCATAATCTTCCAATATCGAGGAATGTTACTAACAACTTACGCAGACCAGCAGGCTGTTGAGACCTTGTTGAGCATGGCCGAGCAATACGTCGGACACACAAAAGACATCTCTAAGAAGGGTGGCAGCTCTGCCCGTAATGTCCTGAAGACCGACGATATTCAGGCTGTTCAGTACAACCTGCGCACCCTCATCGAACGTTTTGCCAACCACACCTCTTTGGACAGCTTCTTCGATTCGCTTAACACCATTTACCGCGATGCTGAGAGGGACCCTGAACTCCGAAACTGGTTCACGAATGTTGACAACTTGATTCGGTATGTGAATTGGAAAACTCACCTCAGAACGAAAGCTGACCAGATATAGCAAATCTCTGCGCGAGCAGGGTTTCATCATGGAGGATGAGTGCAACCGCCAGTGGAACGAGATATACGACAAGGGCCGTTACCTCCTACGCGAGCGTTACCGTGGCCACGCCGACCGTGTTGTCGACGAGGTCAAGTTTATGGCCGATCAATTCGAGAAGGACCCACAAAACCAGGCACTTTCTCTGTCGGTCCAGAAGCTGTTCAGGGATCTGGGCCACGACGCCAGTGGCAAGGCTGCCTTCAAACCGGATCTTCTTCGGGATCTCCGCGACATCATCATTCCCAGCATTTTCGAGAATGTCCGCTATATCCCAATCCCCCGTATCGAGGTTTCGGACCCTATGGTCGATGTTGTGGTCGAGAACCTGTGCATCGAGGGTGACAACCTGATGCCCAACATCATCGAGTTCGGCAGCGACAATTACTTCCGCTGGGGCCGCAAGAAGATCTCCAGCAAGCGCGATAATAAGGTCATGATCTCCATGTCTGGGATTCAGGCTGATCTGCGCGATATCAGCTACTACATCAGGAAGAAGGAAGGCTTCCCCGCCATCACCGATCGTGGAATTATGGACATCTTCCTCGGTGGCGAAGGTCTTAGCGTCAAGATCGCCGCTTCTACAGCCCAGAAGACTGACAAGGAGCATTTCTTCAAGCTGGACAGAGTGGCTGTGAGCATCAAGCATATGGATATCAAGCTGAGAAAGTCCAACCACAAGCTACTCTTCAATGTCTTCAAGCCCATGTTGTTCAAGGTGGTCAGACCTGTTCTACAGAAGGTAGTCGAGGGCCAGATCCGCGAGGCCTTCCGGAAGGGCGACCTCTTCGCCAAGGACATCGACACCGAAGCCAGACGTGCCCAGGCAGCCGCCCGCGAAGACCCCGCGAACGCGCCCTCCATCTTCTCCCGCTATGCCGATGCCATGCGAGCTCGCACCCAAGCCAAGGCCAAGCAGGTCGAGGGCGCTGCCAAGCGTGACACCAAGGTCCAAACCGTCATGACCCTCCACGAGTCCATCTTCCCTGACATCGAGCTCCCCGGTGGTGCATCCAACAAGACCACCGAGTATGCTGAGCTGGCTGCCAAGGGCGATCGCTGGGAGTCCCCCATCTTCAGCCTCGGAAATGCATCCGAGTCCACCGGCATCCCGTCCGCCGCCCCCATCACCAATAAGCGCCAGGGCGCCACACAAGGTGCAGGTGGCGCCGGAGTTGCTCCCGCGTCGAGTGCATCTGGCACCACCCCGGCCGCTGTTTCTAACGGCAATGCCACTAACGGCAACGGATACCAGCCCCGTGGCTTCTCCGATGAGGTTGACCAGGCTTTCGTCAATGGCAAGCCTCAGAATGTTACCGAGGCCATTAAACATAACGCCGATGGCGTCAACGGCACCACCCACGGCACTAATGGCGTTAGTAGCGTTATCAATAACACTGTTCCTACCGGGACCACCGTCTAAACCACGGAGTAACTGTGGCCAAAATCGACATCACATTGGCGTAACGCCATTTTCTTTTGTCCCTTGATCTTTTTGTTTCTTTGCTATGATTTCCCCTTGTGCACTACGGATGTTCATTATTTTTTTTGTACTAGTATTGGTTAAACGGTAGTCTAATACATAATGCCACCGTTGTCTGCGTTATCATTCAACTGTTCTTGAAGTAAATCTGCGCTTCGACCAAAACCTTGGAGGCTTTGAAGTATTCCAGACCCATAGAAGATAAAAAAAAATAAGCTTAGAAGTCATTCATTGTCGTCTATAAAAAGAAGTAAAACTGAACTCCGCTATACAAGAAGCCCAGGGAAGGTAAAATCTCCCACACTTTTATCCCCTTTTTCTTTCGGCGTCCACTTTCGTATAAAATCTCGTATCTCAAATCACAAATGTCTACATGGTTATCGTTTACATCTGCTCAAAGTACTTCTCCCATCCCAACTGGCGCAACTTGGTGCCCTTGAGCTCCATGTTCTCGGCACGGGCAGCCTCAGCGTACGCCTCGACCTTGCGCTGGATGGCCGGGTCGAAAGAGCCAAGCACACGCGCGGCGAGGAGAGCAGCATTGATGCTGTTGTTGATACCGACAGTGGCGACGGGGACACCTATTATGGAATGTTAGACATATAGATCGGGCCAAAGTAGATAGGTGGAAAGGGGGAATAAAGAAAATTGAGTAGAATGGAAAATAACGTACCACGCGGCATCTGCACAATGCTGTACAGACTATCGACACCGTCGAGCGAGCTGCCCTTAACCGGCACGCCGATAACAGGGAGAGCGGTGTGAGCGGCCGCCATACCGGGAAGGTGAGCAGCGCCACCAGCGGCAGCAATGATCACCTTGATGCCGCGCGAGGCAGCCTTGCCCGCATACTCGGCCATGTAATCGGGCGTGCGGTGAGCAGAGGTGATTTCAACCTCAGGCTCGATGCCGAAGTAATCCCGCAGCAGCTTGAGGCCCGGGACGAGGGTCTTGAGGTCGCTGTCAGAACCCATGATGACGGCGACGGAGGGGGCGGGCTTGGAGGGACCGGAGCGGACAGCCTTGGTCTTGATATCGGAGCGCTGGGCGCGCATGGTGTCGACGACGTCGATGAGGGGCTGGATGAAAGTCTCGGCTTCGTGCATGGTCGCGCCGGTGACGGTGACGTGGCCCATTTTGCGGCCGGGCTTTGCGGCGCCCTTGCTGTAGAGGTGGATGCTGGCGTTGGGGATGGAGAGGGCTGCTTGGGTGGCCGTGAGGTGGGAGTCGGGGGTTGCGCCGCCGATGATGTTGAGCATGATTGAGGGCTGCAGGAGCTCGAGGCTCTTGGGTGGGATGGGCAGGTCGAGGATTGCGCGGATGTGGCTGTCGAATTGGGATAGAGCGCAGCCTTCGATTGTCCAGTGGCCGGAGTTGTGGATTCGGCTTGCGAGCTCGCAGAGCATGAGGCTGTCGTCTTCTAGGAGGAACATCTCCACGCCGAAAGCGCCTTTGCCTTCAAAGGCGGAGACGGCTTTGCGGGCGAGAGCTTGTGCTTGCTGGTTGATGGCGTCGGAGACGTTGCGGGCTGGCGCATACACCAGCTTGCATATTGAGTCCTCTTGGACGGTCTCAACGGTGGGGTAGGAGAGGACGTCGTCCTTGGTTTTGATGACCATGACAGCGAGTTCCTGCGGATGTGTCATATTAGAGATGTACATGGTATGATGTTTTAATTGTAGTACTAACCATCTTGAAGTAGGCCCATTTTTCGGAGTAGAGGGGGCGGTCCTTCAGAGCCTCAAGGGCCTCTGAAATATCTTCTTTGGAGTTGACACGGAAGTTTCCTTTCATATGTTAATAAGAATGTATACCCTCTCGACATCACATATGACTCACCACGCCCGTCATATGCCATAGTCTTCGACTTCAACATCATGGGGTAGCCCAACTCCTCTCCAATCTGAGCCAATTCCTCGGGTGTATTGTTCACCAGTTCCCGGTGGTCGGCCATAGGAATTCCATATTTGCGGAGGTGCTCCTTCTGATTGAACTTGTTCTGGATTGTCCGAATAGCCTGCCAGCTAGGCTCGACCCGCACCTTCGACGCAACCTCCTCAAGAGCGTAGGTGTCGACGTGCTCGATCTCGGCGGTGATGACATCGCAGGTCTCAGCCAGTTTGCGCACGGCCTCAGGCTCCTTGAAGGAACCAGTCACATGGCCGTCGTGCGAACTGATCTGCTTGGCGGGAGAGTTGTCGACATCTAGGATATTGGCCTGAATGTTCAATCGGTTGGCGGACTCGACGAGCATGCGGCCCAGTTGGCCACCACCGAGGATTCCGACCTTGGGTGAGTTCCACATAATGTCGGATCGAAGCGTTAAAACGAGAAGCAATTGATCGAGATATGTCAAATGAGAGATCGACGGTGCCCCTCAACTCCGAAAATTCGCGGAGAGTCACGTGGCACTATCGATAAGCTCAGGCCAATCACCGATGTCGACTGCCGCGCCCTTGTCGCAGCTTCGACTCTCTCTGCTTCTCCATGCACAGCTGACTGGACAATGTCTTTGGGTATGTTTACCATCACAGTCGCAGTCCCAGTCTGAGTTGCAATGGGCCCTGCTAATATTCAAATTACAGACGAGGAAGCTCTCCAAATAGCCGCCAATGGCGGCCCGATGGATTTGTACGTGAAACTGCCCTGCCAAGATCCCCAAACGCTTCTGAGGCTAACGCGCTGATACAGAGAGAGATGGCACGGCATGGCTGCACCACTGATCGAGCGACTGGAATATGTGCGCTATACTTCGCTGCCCCTGCCCGACTTCTCTGACCAGTAGCTCCAGATCGTATACAATGTGTTCCCCATGCCTCAAGCGCGCCCCGACCCCATCGGCCAGCAACCATTTCCCAACCATTCTTCCCAGGCAAATTCCATCCCACCCGAAAGCAGCAATAAGGAAAACACATCCCCCACCGACATCCAGACTTCACCTCAGGCAGCGCGAACTGGCTCTCCGCCGTCGAGTGAGCGAGTGCCAGACTCACAGCCTCAGCCATCTGGTGCGAGCACGGATGGCCGGCTTCCACCTCCTCTTGCATTTCTTCTGAGCGCCATACGCTCATCCATTAAATCCTTCTTCGAGGATAAGCCCCCACACACCATTCAGAGACTCGCAGAGCTGGTACTCTACCCGACCAAGCACTACAGAACCTTACCCGCATACCTACGTGCTGTCGATCGCGTTGTCTCAGTGACAAGCTCCGCAGATATTTTCCCATTCCAAACGCCGGCTGTCACGAATGCTCCCACGAACGGGCTAGTGCTTCCTGGTAATAGCAGTGGGGTTTATATAGCCCCAGACTTTGCACAGGGTCTTGGAAGCGATGAATCTCTGGGCGGTGCACTACTTACTCCGATCCCGTGGCTAAACAATCCCTCATTCGCAGGCGAGGATGCCAACGGAGACGCAGGCATATTAGTCGAGGGTACTTTTATCCATTATTACCGAGACACTGGTTTCCTGTTCACTAACGTTTTTCTCCAGGCACTGAAGCTCTACCTACACAACCTGAGGTGGAACCGGGCACCACGACCCTGGTAACCTCCGAAGCCGAAGAGACGGCTGCTAACACCTCACCAGAGTCATCTGATGAGGTTCCTCACGCCCGTGGCCCAATCCTCCTCGGCGTGGAAGATATGGGCCTGCAAGACGGCAAAGGTGTCGAGATGCGTCTTAGCACAGATGGTACCGCCGATGTCCCGGCTGCAGCCGATGCCACCGCCACCCAGGCAACGGAAGAACAGGAAAAGGTCGAATCAACTACCGACAGCGACGGTGATATTGTCCTTACAGACACCAAACCGAAAGAAGAGGAAGAAGCCAAGAATGAAGGCCCTTCTACAGAACCCCAAGCAGGCAATGCTGAGCCTGAATCCACTGGTGATTCATCCCAAGCGCCGGACGCCGAGAAGAAAGCATAGGCGATTTACTATTCTTTTTCCTATGGCTTTTCCTTTTTCTATTCTGATTTTCTCGGTTGGTTTTGGTTTTATCCTGGATTCTAGCATCATGAGTGACGACCCACAAGATTACATCGATCAGTTTTCAATGAAAGGCTTTTGCAATGCCTACATTTTTCTATAAATAGCTCAATCTTCGTAGCATCGCTCATTTCGGATGGAACTATAGACTGACAAGACTATGTTCCTGTTATATTACTTTAAAATGTTTCATATATCTATATGCGGTTCCGGAGGCCCTACCTACCTACCTACCTATCTAGTGTCTCTATTGGGCACTTTAACCTTTAAGCCAAGAACTCCACTCCATTTCTGATATCAAGATCAAGTCTATAAGCCGGGAAATGTACCGCGCGGAAATCCATGAGATATACATGAGACCTACAGAATTTCATCGCCTGTCCAAGTTGGAACTATAGAAAGTTCATAATATGCAATGACAGCACGCACCAGCGCTGCCAAGCCATCCTTCTCAGTAGTATGTACAGAGTACGGAGTAGTCGGTCTTAAAATGTGCCAACTCAGCCATAATACCATCAAGCACGAGGGCGCCATACATAGCCTTATTGACACATGACCCAGCTCTCAGTCGTGCTGTCCGTAAAGCAAGCCACACAGCTTGCAGCACCGGTCTAATTGTGGGTCTCATTAAATGTAATAGCATCTCTCGCAGTTATAAACGGTTTCTGGTGTACAGCGGTTCTCGCCAGAGGTAGTTCTGTGGTTTTCTGGGCATCCTGGGCTGTTATTTTCATTGCAGACTGTTATATACATTGCATTACAGCGCGCTAGCTTCGTGGATTTGGCTAGACCGAAGCGGTGTAGCGTGTCTGGCCTGTTGAGTGTATACATATGTACGTATTTGGCTAGGAGTGGTCAGAATATATCTCTGTCCCGGCCCCGAGACTTGCTGGTAGCTGATTTGATATACTACCCGTCTGCATATGAACAGCTGGTTCAAATATGAAAGA